CGCCCCCAAATTCCCACATCTCCAAATTCCTACGCCCCCAAATTCCCTACATCCCCAAATTCCCACATCCCCTAACTCCCACATCCCAAAATTCCCACATCCCCAAAATTCCTACATCCCCAAATTCCCACATCCCCTAACTCCCACATCCCCAAAATTCCCTACATCCCCAAAATTCCTACACCCCCACAACTCAGACGAGCCTGTACCTTAACTTTCTCATATCATTATTTTTCCTCCCCTTTTTTCGACATCAAAATATCAATCCGTCTGCCTACCAAATCTACATATAAGATAATAAAGATCGAATCGTTTGTACGTAGTTTATACAGCCGAAGATAGCCCCTGTCTAATTGGCACGATTATCGGATGAAAACTTTCCGACATTGTCGAATCTTGCGGTCGTTATTTTGTGATTCGTACTTTTTTGTTAAGGCTGCTCGGTTCTTTGAACTTCGATGTTGGAAACACGTCGGGACGAAATCAAAACAGATACGACGGGGAAAAAAGTATAATGGCTTGAGATTCTGGCTTGAGATTTTGATGAGGCATTAATTCCTCTACCGCCTTTGGAAATCGCGTGCTTTCTATAGTTTCTTTTCGTTGCGATTAATGTTGTATCTCTGTTAATTATTATATATTCATCGATGTTTTAATTAATATATTTGTTGTATGATACTTGAGGGACTTTTGGCTGCAAGAATTGCACTACTTTCAATTTTAGAAAGACGTAGTTCAAACTTGACATAAAAAGAGGATGAACTTAGGAAAGAAAGTTAACTTCAGGAAATTTGTACAAAGTTTAGAAGACTGTACAAAACTTAGGAGACTGTAGAAAGCATCTAGACTGAGGAAAGCTTATGCACCACGATGTGGTCAAAGATTTGATCAAACTGATGCGATAAAGAAAATAGTAGAGCATACTCCACTTGATGTGGAACAATTAGTTTAAAAATGTAACCTGTACTTATGCGAAGAATCCCTCCCAGATGCATCGGCGTTTGGAAAAGGGACCATATAGCAGGAATAGAGAAGAGTGAAAGAATGTTATCGTTATCGGTGTTCCCTGGCAGGCAAACATCGACCGCTTTACTCCGAAAGAATCGCAAAGGAAAATATGCAATTATAAATTATCGTGTTTCGGGATAACACGTCCGGCTGTTTATGGGTGGTGCGATCAGAAGGCAGACCAATCAGTAACCACGGTAACGTGCCTTACCCCCTTACACGTGACCTCTTCTTCTACGTCATATCGGTGACCCCATGAGCAAAATAATACGCGATATTCAACAACGTTTCAACGAAACACCAACATATTTTCTACTCCGTGGTATCGAAATATGACGTGCCCTCGCTTTTGATTATCTTAACGTTATAAATCACGCGATACATGGACCATGGAGTACGCCTCCACGTGGAACGATATGTCAACTCGACGCTAGGACCAGCTCTCCTCCACGGAAATGTTAAGTTCGTAGGTTTCCTCTCTTTTTTCTGAGGAAACACTTATCGCATCCGATACGAATAATCGTTTTGTACTATTAAGTCAATTTTGTATCGTTTCCCTCAGATTTCTAAACTTATATCCGCGGAATAACTTCGTAATAACGATCGATTTACGAAATGATATACTAATGAATTACGAATTACGTGTTCATAAAATATTTTTCTGCTATTGACTTACCCCCTTCCCGCGGTAATTCCCGAAGAAAAAGTGTCCGTACGTAATCAGCACGATCCACTGTTGGACTCTGTTCTCGTACTCACAGCGCCACCGTGCGAACAAAGCTGTAACGACATTGAAAAGTAAATTTCCTACTTTATGTACAAAATGATGTCGATAATAAGTTTCGTGAAATTCTGCGCAAAAATAATAAATAGTTTCTAATATATGTATTATGTCCAACTACATACATATTTTATCCTAAATCTTTTTATAAAGACCACTACTATTGTTCTTGCCGTCTATAACCTATACTGTACTAGTTCTACCGCACTCGCTATCGAACAAGATTTGCACTTACATTTTTTCACTGATCGATCGCGTTCTTTTTTTCCAGTGAACTCTTGACTTCCTCTTTTATGACTTGTTATAAAATTCTGCAAGTTTTATCAGTGTCTACCACTTACTTTCTTGTAAATCTTGCAACGTAAACATAACACAATTATAGTGCGCAATGAATCAAACTCTGCGCGGTAAATTGGAGTACTATTGCGCTGGATGCGCCCACTATAAGCAATTGGTCGAATTAACCTGATGACAAGCATTCGATACTAAACTATCAGAAAAATGGCGCTTGCTGAAGTTTGCGGTCTCGATAAGTTTGTTAATTTTAATGCTGTGCGCGAAAAAGATCAGTTTTCGCAAGAAATCGAAGCGTACAGTAGAAATTTCGTTAACAATGCACAGCTGGCTGTACCGCCTTATTTAAATGTAAGTGATTTATGCGAATCATTTTTATAACCACTTTTCATTTAAATTTGCTATATCATCTGATTATTCTGTACAAATCACATCCAAGTCTGTACAATTGCAAGATTAAATTTTCTTTATCGTTCTTCTATGAACTGAGTTTCATTCTCTGGTTATATGAAAGATTTTTGTACAGGTTATGAAAGGTTAGGGACCCCGAAATCTTCAAGTCATCATTTTTACACATATATTATTTTAATATGATTCTGTTTGCATTTAGCCTGCAGAAACGTTGGGTAAGTTTGCCGAAGGAACTGACGAAACTGGAAAACACTTGAAAATTAAGTTTGATCATGGAACTACCACATTGGGTTTCCAATACCAAGGTGGAATTATTCTTGCTGTCGATTCACGTGCGACTGGTGGTCAATTTATTGGTAAGTTCGCAATGGTTTTTTGCCTATAAAATAAATTTTACACAAGTTTCTTTCGCTTATAGGTTCATCCACCATGAAGAAGATAGTAGAAATCAATGATTATCTTCTTGGAACTTTGGCTGGAGGTGCAGCTGATTGTGTCTATTGGGACCGTGTTCTAGCTAAACAGTGTCGTACATATGAATTAAGAAATAGAGAACGTATGTCTATTGCTGCAGCTAGTAAGCTGTTATCAAATATGGTATATACCTACAAAGGAATGGGATTAAGCATGGGTAAGTTCCTACTTCAGTATTTAAAAGCATCTTTCCAACTGAAATATTCAATGCAATTCTTATATATAGGAATGATGCTTGCTGGGTGGGACAAAAGAGGACCTGGTCTGTACTATGTTGATTCAGAAGGTACTCGTACCCCAGGAAAAGTTTTCAGTGTAGGATCAGGATCAATCTATGCATTTGGTACATTAGATTCTGGCTATAGTTGGGATTTAACTGATGAAGAAGCTTATGAACTTGGCAGAAGGTCTATTTATCATGCTACCCATAGAGATGCTTACTCTGGTGGTATTGTAAGAGGTATGTATCAATACAAAATAATTCATACAATACATTACATGAAAAAAATTTCTGTCACAGTTTATCACATGAAATCAACTGGTTGGGTCCACATTTCGGATGAAGATTGCAAAGACCTCCATTACATGTATCAAGAACAAAAAACAAAAGGAACTAATTAGTAGCATTTATGATTTACTGCATTCTATTAAATGTTTTCTATAATAAAATTCATTTCTAATATTAAAAATGATTGCGTTCGTCAGCACCTATAATGTCATTTATTCCTATAAGTTCAATTTTAGGACTTCACATGCTGAACCTTTTCCGTTATTTTATTTTCTGAAAAAGATTTATTAATGCATAATAAAAATTTGAGGATTTGAAAATTAGTATACGTGATATTTTATTATAAATTCAACGAAAATACGCAGAGATAGATGAGGAAAAAGATATGCGACTGGAAATCGAACTCCCCACTGCTCCCCACTTATTACAGCGTAGAGCGCCATCGAATCAGTGTGATTGGTGCCGTGGTGCAACAAGCAGTAACGCACAAATTTTCTGGAACTGCAATTACATTTTGGGCCCTTGATAGATTTTACTATGTCAAGTCCCGAAGAGTCTAAACTCAAGGGCGGACATCCTCCAGCAGGTAAAGAAAGAAATTTATAGCTTAAAATCGGGAAAAGGTTAATATGTTTACACCATTTGTCATGTGACGTCGTATTTTATCCACCTGTCCAGATATCTCAAGGCCATCGGATCTTTATAATTTTTCATCGTTAAAAATATACGCTTTTTATTTTTTATTTAGTAAAAGCGGGAGGAATGAGAATAACCCAACATAAAACACCAAAGGAGGATCGCGAAATAAAACCCCTTAAGGATGCGGATGAAAGTAGACCGTCGATCAGGTAATGTTTTTTTCATTTACATCAAGGTTAAATTCACGCTTGACTTGAAATCTATGCATGTACAAAAAGAAGCATCGTTTATTTATTCGTATGGTATAGAAAACATGTTGAAAAAAATGACAGTAACTCTTAGGATACAGTAATTGTCTTTGAACAGTTTACTACGTAGTCCGATTTGAAACAGCTGCCATGCTGTTGATAAGTGCGACGATATACAATTAAACGTAATTACAGAAAAACGTTATAAACAAAGTGGACACGTATGATAAGAGAAATGACTGTTTTTCATTAGTAACGTTTGTCTAAAAATAATAAGAAAAAAATATTGTTTTTTTGTAGTACATATAAACAAAATATTTATAAATGTAAATTATGTTCCAGTCCATCTAAGACCTTGATGATCAGTGGATATCCTGCAAAGGGAAATGCAGATTTTCCTCCAGAAGCTGTACAAGTTTTCCATGAGAAACCTACGCCAACTCATGATGCTCGTCCAATTCATTGTTCACGTCCCATCATTATTCAACAACCCAGGAAGTGAACAATACGCGCATTCTCCAACCAAGGGCTAACAGATGCATTAGCCCCAACACTTCTTAATTAAATAAAAATCAATAAAAACCAAAAAAATAAAAGCAAATATCTATATATGAGTGTACTTGGAAGTTTCTATGGGATATACTGATCAATGATTTTGTGTATTTGCAGTGTAAACTTACGATCAGTTTCCCAAGAAGCTAACAGTTTCATGCTAGATGAAACAGAGTACCTCACGAGAGTATATTACTGTTAAGAGAAAAAAAAAGATTTATTTTTAATACTGCGTCGCGTGATTTCAGTATCGGCATTTAAATGAACCACTTACTCCGATTTTTCTCGAAGTCCTGTGTGTTCAAACACTACTGTTAGATGTTTGTATCGACAGCACGCTTCCGTTTTGATTTTGTAATTTGATAACTCTTTTAGTGGGCATGTTAGTACAGCATAATATTCGTAAGTGTCTTCGGGACCAGTATGCATTTCAAATTTGCGACTTTAATATTTTTTTTTTTTTGTTCTTAAATTGCATTTGTAAAGAAAATGTATGATTTTTGGAACATTGATTTGGTCTAAAATTGAACCAAATCGGTGTACCACGTATCGAGTGTTACCCTTAGTTAAATCTACATACATCGTAGAACTTCCGTAAATTCTGATGTAATCAGCGATTTTTCATAATAAAGATGTATCATAATACTTTGCGAGTGTAAATGTCGAACGAGATTCGTAACGTTAGCCATAGTTTATATACCAACTACGGGAAAGGGAAAGAAAGAAATAAATAAACGTTCCTATACGTAAAGAACAAATGTTTTTTAATCACCACCCTTTTCCCTGCGCTTGCCCCGTTTACATGCACGGCGGTCAAGTAATCACGCGATGCCGTTCAGTGTCATGGAACACTGTCGTCATAGTAACTTGCACGAATTGTACAAACATGGCCACATTGATGTGTCGAAGTTTGAATGGGAAAACTGTTTGAGTGGAGCTTCCTTCCTGATGTGTAAAGATGTGAATACGTTACGACCCTTACACGTCGTTTCCGTTTGAAAATTTTCGTACAGCTCGAATCAATCTAGTAGCCGTATTGGTTCGCGTATTTTTGCCGCCACGATGTCGAAAAATACCACTGAAAAGATCTTGGAAATCGACGCACACGTCAGCAAACATTATGACATCGTTCGACGTCTTGGCAAAGGGGTAATTTGTTACTTTCTTACAATTTTGTAATTTATTTATTTTTCATTGTAAATGTTTACGAAATTCTTTTTCATGTTTTTTAAAAATGTACATTAGAATTGTGTATGTTAACAGAGTGATTTATTTAGTATACGCTAACGAACAAATGCATATATTTACTTTAATGTCAATGTTTGCTTCTATCAGTGGAAGCTCAAATTTCATTACCCGTTAATGATGTATTTATTAAATTAATATATGTTCTGTAACATATACCAACCCATTTAAATTATTTCCCCAAAATACAAAGCTTGATACTGAAAAATATTTAATATCAAAGTCAAACAGTTTCAAGAAATACATAATACAGTTTTATTAGAAAAACGGTGAATGGCATGTTTAAAAATTCTATAGAAAACGCGATATTTGCGTGATGCACTGCAATGAAAAAGATTGTTATACATGTACATAAAATTATCGATGACAATCGTCTTGGTACCCGTGTCGCGGAAAAGTCTAACTAGGAAGCAATCGATACTTGACCGCTTAACAGTCATAATCATGACAACGAATTCTGGATATAACAACAGCAACCACGTGTACGGACTCCCACGTAACGACGTAATACAGAACTTTGCCGGTCATGGCTAAAGAAGTTAAGACTTTCCGGGGTTAGAGTCGATATCAGGAAGACGTCTCCTTAATTGCAGGACTCTCCCTCTTCATATTTTTAAACGTGGTATTATGGTTGTGTCACAGGCCTACGGTATCGTGTGGAAGGCGATAGACAAGAAAAATAAGGAGACAGTAGCGATGAAGAAGATCTTTGACGCCTTCGGGAACCAAACGGATGCGCAGCGGACGTTTCGCGAGATAATGTTCCTATTGTCGTTCTCCAATCACGAGAACATCATACGACTAATCGGTCTGCACAAGGCGAACAACGACCGGGACATATATCTCATATTCGAGTACATGGGTGAGTTTTACCCGGTTCGAAGAAGAATTCACGAAAGGTCATGTGCCGCGACGATTCTCAGACATTTGGCCTGAAACACGTTTCGGCCCGTTTCCCCAGAAACCGATCTGCACAACGTCATCAAGAAGGGCAACATCCTGAAGGACGTCCACAAGGTGTACATCATGTATCAGCTGTTTAAGGCGATCAAATACATTCATTCGGGGAACGTGATACATCGGGACCTCAAGGTGAGCTTACGTTGCATTCGATCATTCTATGCTACATTGACCGCCGTGTCGATATTCCTTTTAGCCGTCAAACGTTCTGCTGAATGCACAGTGCCACTGCAAAATCGCCGATTTCGGATTAGCGCGATCTGTTACTCAGATAGGCGAAGGCGACGGTGAAACCGCTAGTGATCCTACCCTAACAGATTACGTGGCAACTCGCTGGTATCGTGCTCCAGAAATACTCGTTGCTTCGAGGAGGTAATCCGTCGAGTCGTTCCTAATGAACGTTTAAATCTTCATTCGACGCGTTGACTTCTGTAGTGATCGTTCAAGGCCCACGCCGTCTAATCGAATAATTGAAAAGAAGAAAGAGAACAGAACAGAGATCTACAGATTTAGGAATATAAATAGATTGTAGTAAAATGAAATTTTTTACAGTTTTAAAAGATTATAATTATTATAGTCTTGTTCATCTTCCCTACAATAGTCAATGCGTTAAACCGCACAATAATTTACACGATTCTCTGAGTACACATACTGTTTAGGTACACGAAAGGCATCGACATGTGGTCATTAGGATGCATACTCGGAGAAATGCTTCTGGGGAAGCCACTGTTTCCCGGTTCCTCGACGATTAATCAGGTCGAGAGAATAATGGCCACTCTTCCACCTCCAAGCAGAGAAGGTAATTCTTTACGAGACATCTTCGTGATCACGTATCAAATGGTCGACTTTCTGTCGGTACACTCTTTCCAGATTTAATTGCGGTCTGCGCCGGCTACGGTACCAATTTATTGGAGAAGACTCCGAGCGGACCGAGACGTTCATTAAAGGATTTATTGCCAGATGTACCGAAAGAAGCGTTGGATCTCATCGGCAATTTGATAGTCTTCAATCCGAACCACAGACTAACAGCCGTCGAAGCTCTGGAGCATCCTTATGTGGTCAAGTGTGTACAGTTCAGCTCACGAAGCTTAAAAATTAATGAGAGATTAATGGCCTGAATGATTCGTTTATTCGACAGTTTTCATAGAAGAAGCAACGAACCGGAACGAGGTTCAAGCGTAGTTCCGTTACTCAGAGACGATGTCCAGCTTTCCGTGGAAGAGTACAGAAATAAGCTTTATTCAATGATGGATGAGAAGCACCGCAAGCATAAAAATATGTGGGTCGATTCGTTTACGCGCGGCGTACCAATGATTATTTCTGTGATCTAAAATTAATCTATTAACTGACTGTAAAAAGCAGGTCTAAGTCTAGAGTCAGACGACTTTCGGAGCACATCAGGAAGGAAACCGCCATTAGTAACAGTAGCCCAGTCATCGGTCAAGGTGACATGACTGTCGGTAAAAATCTTGCACACTCGTACCAGGATTTACGTAAAGAGAGAAGTAGAACTGATTCGTACGAACCTTCCTGTTCAGAGGGTAAAATTAACAACGTTTATTTTACGAGAGAGAACCGATACATTTATGATGATGATGATGAGGCCGATGATGATGTTGACGATAAATTGTTCTGGTCTTCTCTCTTTTTTTCTTTCTCTCAGTCCGTACGCAGCTACCGAGCAGAAAGACTTCACGGAATGCACAAATTGACAGCGGTGAAAGAACCACGAAGACCAGATCGATAAGCACCTGTATGGAGTCGCAGATTCCGAACGCCAGAAGCCTCAGACCAACCGGTGAAATCTTTTCATTCGATTCTTTCGCGAATAGTAGTAACGCTTATAGAATGATATTTATAACTATCAGAATTAATGTATTTTTAAATTGCCAGTAGCCAAAAGCGTGGCAACTCAATACACGTACAATTTAATGAACAACTCGAACCTGGCACCAAGCGCAACCAAGAGCTGTTTGTACATAAATCAGCAACGACAACTATCGAAATCTCAACGTTCTATACAATCGGACCAAGTGACCGTGGTAAGTGAGATCACCGAACCAACTGCTCTTCGCATAAGAGTAAACGGACGATTCTATTCGTTACAGGCTACATGTCGCGTGGGATTCATTTAGGTACTGTAATCATTTATACGTGATTTATACGTCACGACTCACTGTATCTCGCACAGAAAATGATTTTTTCTTCATCCCTAGATAAACATTTTTTTCATAAATTCTGTGAATGTTTTTATACTCGGAAAAGGACAATACGCCACGATATTATCAATGGACGTGGCTTTTGTTTATTAAATTGAATTTCTGAATGGCACAAAGAATTGAAAGTTGATCAAAACGTGGCGTGTGTCCAGTTCCCTCCGAATCGCGTATTTTCTGACCAACCTATAGAAATTGAATGTTCGCAATTTCAGTGCGCATCCGGCGGAAAATCGAGTCAGCTGGCGCAAGCTGGTCGAACAAAATTGCGGAGGAATTGCAAGCAAGTCCGAGTACCGACGCCTTTTGAATCGAACTGGCGGGAAGAAGATCGGCAGAGGACCATCTCCTTCGCTCAGGACCGACCCAGGAGTTTTCGCACGAAGTATTTTACGAGAACAGTGGACAACTCGTCCTACGACTGTATGAAATGCAACAGCAAACACGCGAACAGGTGTAACGGTGATTCGCAGTGTCACTCGGTCTCGAAGAATCAAGTTGTCCAGAATTATCTGAACCAAATCATGCCATCCCGCGTCAAAGAACAGTCCAACCCCTGTCGAACGAGGGACACAAATTACAGGATCTCGCAGTGCGACACCAACGGTGTCAAGAAATCCCAACAAACAGCTAATTCTCCTTTGGTCGGGAATAATCGGTTGAGGAACACGGCTAATCGCGACCACGTCACGAGGGCGCAGAAACACATTATCGATGGGGCTGGCGAGAAGAAGTCGAAATCCACGCGTGACTCGACTTTCGTAGACAATCATAGCCAGACTCACGGTGTTATAACTGCGTCCGTGTACAAAGAGCTGCGAAATGGGACTATAAGGTGGTAGAATGTCGCTGGGTCAAGCTTCCGACAGAAAGAAACGACAGCGGCAGACTGCTAGGGTTTAGGGACAAATATTTTTATACTACTTTTCGAACGATTTAGAACAGCGAGTTCTCACCGCAATACTGTGTGAAAAATCGGAAATGTAGAATCATCTTTGTACGGGCGAAAAATCGTCAATTTTCAATATCAGTATTAAACGCACGTTATCACCGTTTTGCTATATTCACAAATACATAATAGAGTATACGTATGACCATTTCTTGGCCAACACACTATGTCACACAAATTTTCTAGTGCTACAACCACGTGCATGGCAATACGAAGGTGCAATTAGCCCTCGGTCGTTTCTTTTCCTCGGAAGCTAGAATTAAGGTTCCTAAATTAATTTAACGAGAAAAGAAAAATAAATACGTGCGAATTCTTAAAGAAACCGCCTGAGTCGTAAGCTTCGTAAACGTAAGCGTAAGTAGCGAATTGCAGACGATCTCGACGCAAGCGACTAACTTTAAACTGTTAGGTAAGAAGCTCGCGAACTTCTTCTAGTTTTATAGAATATAAGAGTGACGAAACGAAAGAACTCGTTTATCTTCATGTTCCTTGGAACGTCACTGCAACGTGATGTGCATTGTACCAAAGCAAATTGTACAAAAAGAACAGTCACTTATCAATAATCGCGAGTTGAAATCGGTAAGAACAGGTGTATAAAACAGCCAATCGATAAACGGGGCCAAAAACGGTGCGGTTATCTGTTTTTTCTCTCTAGATAACGCGTGCACCTGTCCCCTAGGCGAGAAGCAAAGTTGCAACTCTCTTCTCCGCGTTAATCGTATACTCGTCGACAAATGTAGCGCGTAAATTTCTCTTTGTAATATACTTTTTTTGTGATACCTTTATGCGGCTATGTGATCTGTCCAATTCGTATGTATAACTTGTCGTCGTGGAATAAATTTTTACTAAAGGAGTTTTCCTGTCAACACTTGATCAAAAGACCCGTAAAGAGATTGCCTCGTATCGCTGCGAGGGTTCATCCTTTGAGTCGGAAAACGAGACAACCGCATTTTCATTTTCCATTCCGTGGAACGATTTCTTCCCGGTCGATGTCATGCCTTTTGCTCATTGCATCGACAGAAACGCCATTTCAACTATTTCCCTGATGAGATTCGTGTAAGAAAGCATATTGCGAACTTGCATTTTTCAAAAAGAAGTTTCAAGACTCGCTTCGGGCGTTTTAACCTGTCCCCATTGGCGTAGCGACGTCCTAGGAAGCAATATGAACGCTGTAGAAATACTCCGTTGCACAGTTTTCGACATTTCCAAATATTTAAACCTCTTTAAATTTCAAAATTCTTAAATTTTGATGAACCTAAATGACCAATTTATTAAATCTCCAATTCATACATTTCCGAATTTTCAAAAGTTATTTAATCATTCCCGACAGTTAGTAAACGTGTGCAAGACAAAAATCTTAGTTACGCCAATGTCCCTTCCTAAACAGCCATAACTCATCGTACTCCGGCTCTCCATGAAATACCTGGATCGATATAAGTGCCTTTATACAAATTCCCGAGACTTTTCGTTTCAGAACGTATCGTAAGCAATCTATTTCGAGGGTCGTGCAAATATTCAGGTCGGGAGTAACAAGGCTCGCCCCTGTCACCTTAACACACCCTTCTGAATTTGATCAAGTACCCTTCTAGAAGGTTTCTCAGATCTGTCAGATTTCGAGAAAAGAAGAATTGAACGCGGGTCAAGTTTACTCGACCTGTCGGTATCCAAAGAATCCAGCATTACTTTCGTCGAGATTAATTCGATACAAATTTAATCGAATCGGATAACTCGATCGACAACAACTTGTGGAGGCGAGTAAATTTGCTGGGAACAAATATTTACGAGCGATTGACGTTCGTTCTCGCTGCAATTGCACCCCACTTGCCAGTTGTTACATTATTGAGCTAAAAGTTATTCCAAACAGAGTTAAAAGGAACCGAGCGCAAACGAGCGGTAAACAGTGTCGAATATAACTGCTGTATCAACACACCTTTACAACAGCGCTACTCGACTCTCTTTTTCTTCGGTTAACAAACTTACCCTTACGTTCCAGATCCTCGTTAACAATAGCCTCTCCCTTTGTTCGTGACACAGAGGCGTGTTTGATTTTACATACAAGTAATACGGAGTATAACTTATATTAAAGCTGAACGTCTTGATTGGTCCACTAAAGAAATCACCGATTCCTGGTGACCCCAGGAATTATTTAGAAACACAGGAAGTCATTACAACAACCTTGTAATAATTTCACAGACAAACCGTACGAATAAAAAAACTACTTGAATTAGAATAAAATTTATTCACGTAAACCAACCCTGCCTGATTTCCTCCTTTATGTACATAAATTACTTTCAGCTTTAAAATTCTTCGGAACATTTATAATAATTGGACCACTACTATATTACGTATTTATGTATTCAACGTTGCTCGTCCGTGGTAACGAGAGTGTTAACACGTGGCTGACTAGTAGTCACGTTCTTTTGGTAACTGGTTTCTTGCCGTTTGTTAGCATTCTGCGCCTGGTCCACCGGTACGTGCGGCTTTTTACGAATACTTTGGAGCATATAGCAACGTCTGTGGGGACTGTGTCTACTGTAAAAACTATCGTATCCACTGCTGGACGTGGCGGTACGTTTGACGGTCAAAACCGCGTGATGTCCACCGATAGGTAATCCACATCCGCAGCCGGGCAACATTCGCCGCTTTCGTAGCAAGCCTCGTCTCATGGTGCCTCCAGCGTTACACCCTGCGCACATGTCATCTATCACGGCGGTTCCTTGAACACTCTGCAACAGTAGGGCAATCGCTGGAGGATATCTTTCACAAAATTTTGCAAATAGGAGAAATTTGGAAATGTAGGAATGTAAGAATACAAGGAAAGGAGTATGAGGAAATGTGAAAGCTTAGAAAGTTGGATATGAGAATTTGAAGTAGAAATCTGGACGTATCTGGTGCCTGAAGCTATTTGGCATCCCCCTGTACTCTACTTAACCCCTTTGCGAATGTACTCTGAGTTCTCAGATTATTTGAAAATATTTTACAACTTCGACAAAGTAGCATATAAATTATTTTATTATCAAATGAATTTCAGAGAGAAATTTTGTACAAAATCCGCAGTTTTTCTAACAAATACCACGATTTTATTATTACTGGGCATATAAAAGCAAAGATAAATAGTAAGTGTGTGTCACGCTCCAGCTATAATTTTCTAACGCGGGGAATTCATGAGGGAGTTTGATGAAATCGCGATACTCACCGACCGACGTCTGCTCGTAAATTGTGGCTCGCATTGTGTCATATAAATTCCACGAATAAGGCAGAGAATAGAAGGATTCCTGGTGTCCCAGATAATTGCGATAACAAAGGCGGTGTTCATCGTTGTATCGTGAATTTTGTACAATTTTTGGATAAAGCGTCTGGGGTAAAAATCGGTAGACCCCATCAACCCTTGAACGTAGGGAACATTTTTTCGACGCGTCAACTTTTCACGGGCAGAAAAATCAAACGCTAAAAATGAAAAGAAAAAAAAGAAGCAGCACATGATACAGCAGGTTTCGATTTTCGTTCGCCACGGTATTTGTTCAAAGCATCGTCGGTTTTCGTTAATAGTCGGCGGATATTGAATTACGTGGGAACGAAACCTCATGCGTGTGCCTTTCAACGAATCACGTATCGTTCGATCAATGGAAACTCTCGATTTACCGTTTACCGCGACAAATAGAAATTTCGTTACATACAGATTGTCGTAAACGATACCCTTCCATTACTTAGAGATTTGATACGTAACAATGTAACCAGTTGAAAATTATTTGGGGATGAAGAGTTTGAAAGTTTAGGTCGGGATAAATGTTTGGGTAAATGTTTGAAGATTTGAGGATTCGGAAACTTGGACCTCACAGAATTGAAGATAAACACCCAAAGTTCCGAAAGACTCCCTTTCAGAAAATATTTCCATCTTTATTCCGTAGCTTGTAACTTAATAAGGCTTACTTTTCGGCGAGGTCTTCGTCGCGCCAACGCACGAGGTCCACGACGGAGTATCTCGGCGACGCTTCGTCGAAAATTGCGAGTCATGAAGCAATACACTACAGGATTCAACGCGCTGTTCGCGTGTCCCAGAAACAGGCAATATGAGAGAGCGTCCGTTGTAACTGTCTCTTCTCCTGCGAACAATTTCATGGCTTTACTCGACGTTCGGACAGAGTACATAGCACGGGCAATCATGTCTCTCCGCTGGTAATTCAATGAAGAACTTTCGACTGTCCGTCGTAGTTAACTTCGTTTGGCTACTTTTATTTCTTCGCCGGGGAAGAAACAACGGTGGTTCATATACGCTCTACACGTTCGACGATGTCCAGTTAAGATGACACGCGGTAATTGACTCACCTATTACGCTCAGGTCGATCAACAGCATTAGAACGTTGTACGGTAGCCAACACAAAGCGAAAAGCACCGCCAGAAGAAGCAATATCCAAGCGATTCGACGTCTCTCGCGCACGAGTCTGAAACTCTGAACACAGTAGATTTAGATCTTTGATTCTCGATCTAAAGGGCGATCTCCAAGGGTGAATATTGATCGTTATCGACGTATAAAAACAAAGGGAGAAGTTTGTCAATGGGGAATTATACAGAATCCGCATGGAGGTCCCTTCATCAAAGTTTACGTACTTGTAAGCCACGTGGTTAGGATTGAATAGGTTTTAACGAACCAAAGTTCGAGAACGTATGAATCTTTAGATATGATTTCACTGTGTTATATTATTCTGATTAATAGCAGTGTAATTGGCTGTTCATAATAGGTTTTATCACTTCAACCTTCTAATCCCAACTAACCTGTTGCGAACTGGCGCTTCCCTTGACGCTGTCACAATCGAAAGGCGGTTTTCTGGAGCACAGTGTTCGACCCATCATGGAGTAAGAGAGTATCACGACGAAACCTACGCCGAGAAGAAAATGGAGTTAAATTAATCTTTCGCGGAAAAGAACGCGCAAATAAATTTGGGATAAACCTCGGTTTTTTTCAGGGAAAGAGGCATTAAAGTTAGATGAGCTATTAGTCATAAGTAGGCTTACCGGGAATGGCATAAACCAACACGAAGCAAACGGTGCCGAAAAGGTGCTCTCGAACGCCCAAAAGTTTGTAGTCCTCCCAGCACACGTAGAACGGAGGCGGCCGCTGTGACATGGGAGATATGTTCTCGGAGAAATTCCCCGCCATTATCCACGAACCGTGCAAAGTAATGTTGCTAAGTTCTTGGGACGGGTCCCGCAGGGTCATCTAAAAGGGAGATTGGAAAACATTCGTCGATCTATCTCTGGAGAAGGAAACGTGATCAGATTTATGTGTCACGTCTACCCGGGGATATTTATTTCTTTTACGATACAAGTTGTCGACGCCTGGAAATACATTGCAAAGCGCAATTTTGAGTAGCTCGTTAATAACGCAGATATAGCAACGTGTATCCATGGAAATTTAACACATGTCAATGTAATAGTTACTCAAACGATTTTACGATCTTCAAAGGGGTATAAAAGCTTGCGCCAAAAAGAGAGAACTCACGCAACATATTGCGTTAGCGATTTTATACTAACCGCTTTTAAAACGGGAGCAAATATAATTAAAGCGACCAGCCAAAGGGCCACGATGACGAAGACAGTACTTTTCCGATTGAACACTCGACGAAACGCCATGGGACTTCTGATCGCTAGGTATCTGTCGATGCTCATCGCCGTGATGGTGAAAACTGAAGCGGCCACGGCAACACCTACGGAGAAACAGTCTTAAACCACATCTAATCGATTATTTGGACTCTAGAAAAATTCACGAGCGAATAATTTGCAACACCTGCACGTTGTACCTCGAACTCTCGAGGGTCATAAAACAATAAGAGCCCGCTTTTTGACTTCGAGGCAGAAATTTACTATTCTCGTCCCGTTTCAACATTTTTCAAGTATATGAGGACATTGACGCATAAAAAATTTCTGATGGTTACCGTAAACTTTCGTTATATCAGAACTAGGCGACCTTATATCGCAATATTACAGTCCGTGACGGGACATGTAAAGAAGCCTGACAATTTAACGCAGGGGGATCTGTTTGTATGGTAATTGAACGCTTGAAAGTACAACGTGGCTAACTAGCACGGGGCGAAGTAACGCGTGGCGAAGTTGGTCATTAAATAAATCTCGTTAACTCATACGGATCATTGTCGTCTCATTCACACGTACTAGAAGGCCGTGGGAGGAAGGTCGCGCCAAATAAGAAAAAAAAGGAAAAATTAACATCGGATCGACACCAGGGTCGTTCAGGAAAAGGGACATGTATATACATGTACATGCACCGACGCATACAACCGTGCAAATCTTTTATGTATGAACCAAACTGACTCTCGCCCACGACGTTCACCGGCCATGCGTGATGTCGTGGCAATTCGTGGCGGTGATATTTCTTTTTCGCTTAATGCTTGTCACATTTTCATAGGAAAATAAAGTAAACGTCGCCGGGAAAATGACATCACTCTTATTTAAAGAGAAAGTTTCGGATTCTTGAGATTGTGCTTTGGAATAAATAAAAAGTTACTGTTATTAAGCTGTCTGAAGTTTGATGCTGACAGTGCTGGAATAATTGTTGAAATACCAAGATTTATTTTGATCGACATAGTTTTGAATAAGCGATGATAAATGTAATCGTTGCTGGATACCAAGGTTTATCTCGATCAACATAATTTTTAATAAGCGATGATAAATGTAATCGTTGCTAAATTACCCTGAAGATAGGACGAAAGTTTGCACATGACCTCCCCGTAGGTCCACACCATCGAGATGGCTTGACTGACAGCCACTGGCATGCAAATAGTAGTGACCAGTAGATCCGCCACGGACAGGTTGACCACGAAGTAATTAGTGACACTGCGAACAAAAGGGTTACTCGTTGTCAAACACGATCGCCCAATTCACTCCCCACATCTGGAATATAGATACACGTTAATCTTAGAATCAACATCGCTCGGTTGAATCGAACCAACAGTTCATTCGAACGGAGAATTGTCTAAAATAATTCGATTATTAAAAATTGCAAAGACAGTAAAATATCGCTCGTTTATTGATCACATTTGTCTAGGATCATTCTTTCCATGGGGTGAATCACGTAATAACATTGTTCAACGTCAAATTTGACGTTCGCCTACGAACAGAACTGGCATTCGATGGATAAGAAAGAGAAGTGGAGCAATAATTTTTACTATCCAAATAAACATGCAACACATGTACCGAGAACGAACCGGCCGCTTATTTTCACGACGTTTCGCTTGTTGGAAATAAGCGCGCACCTAGCCGTTTCGACCGATGTCTGAGAATGTTCAAGGTGCATTCTTCTTCCTGCCAGCACTTTCGATGCAGTGCGATCTTATCAAATTCGAGGAAACTCCTTTTATGATCTCCTCGTTGCGTAATACTTCTTTCAACTTTCGTTTTATTTACGAACAAAAAGTTGAAAAAGTCGATACCATCAAGATGGTACTCTTGATACTCAAAAGCGATTTATAACTCCTTTTTTAATTTCTCACTTTTGCGCTATGAATGTTATGTCTATAGACGTATAGAATATTTTCAATTAAACGTTAACCAGTTACTTGGCGTGATTAATACAATATTGATACTGCTTAAACAATCCGGTCAGCTTTATCGAGGAGTGAAGCTACATATTGGTACTCGATATCGAATCGATAATATTGCGCTATACAGCTTAAACACAGGAGCTTTCTGCTAATGACCATTTACTCCATGTTGTGAATTAAATTCCGGACCTCTGTAAACCCCTGTACATTGTCCAATAAACATCCAATGATCCACCATCCACTAATTTTTATGGGACAACACAATTTGTGCTTCAGTTACCACCACGATGCACGTTATTCTCATCTTCCGATGCTTTTAACAGCTATTACCTGATCGTCCGCTTATCCCTGATCGTACATCTGCAGTTTATCAATAATCTATGAATCTTAATTAAACACCTCGTCTTTCTTTCTCCGATGTTCCTAAGTTCTTTATAACGTAACTAGGTCGAGGGAATGCGCTCATCCAGGGGCAGAGCAAGATATACAAGAGTTGCCAACGAGGTGCTAAGTAGTCGAGAATGTAAATGAATTGCAGGGAATCTAATAAAAACCCTCCCGTCGGGGCTCATCTTTTGATCGAGACGTTAATTTCGCTAATTCTCTTAGGACAGCTTTACTACTATGAAACAAGCAATGTTATAATGCTTCATTTCATTAACTCGAACGCTGTGGGAATGATGGCAAAAATTTACCGCAGCTTAATTAATATTACCACCGGGTAACAATGAAATTACAGCGACAGTAACCTTGATCTTCTAACTTCCTCAATTTTAAAAAGTAGCCCTGCCCAAACTAACCCTATCGGGATCTCGTTATGCTAAAAGCAATATCCTGATGGTTAACCAACATGACCGCTCTAATCAGTGACCTACACCGGATTGTTTTAATTATACTGTTGCTACAAAGTTTAAAGTACTCTAAATATTCTGATGGTTAACCAACATGGCCGCCATGATCAGCGACCTACACCGGATCGCTCGCTTTAACCAAACTGTTGCTACAAAGTTTAAAGTATTCGGTATTTTAAAGTATTCTAAACATCTGATGGTTAACCAACATGGCCGCCATGATCAGTGACCTACACCGGATCGCTTTAACCAAACTGTTGCTACAAAGTTTAAAGTATTCGGTATTTTAAAGTATTCTAAACATCTGATGGTTAACCAACATGGCCGCCATGATCAGTGACCTACACCGGATCGCTTTAACCAAACTGTTGCTACAAAGTTTAAAGTATTCGGTATTTTAAAGTATTCTAAACATCTGATGGTTAACCAACATGGCCGCCATGATCAGTGACCTACACCGGATCGTTTTAATCATACTGTTGCTACAAAGTTTACAGTATTCTGTATTTTACATGTAGATTTTAATGCGTGTCTCCAAGGTTCCATGCTAATTTTCAAATACGACTCGAATTATTTATCGAATGTCAATACTCCGGCGAGACAGGGCTTAAATATTCGATAACATGTTTAATAACGAACGTGTGATTTTCGAGGAAAATAGAGAAAGCATTAATTGACTGAAGCAACAACTTCGTTTACACGACGAGAGAAATCCCTTGTTATTCAGAAATCATTTTTTTACTCCACAAATAACGAGTGTGAATTTATTCATACGTAAAGCGTAGAAAACATTTTATTATTTTACGTGGTTTAATAATGAAATGCAACGGGAAACGTGTCACGCTAAAATAAAGGAGCCGTGAGTTTTGGTAATAAGCTTGAAACAAAGTTTTAGATATAAAGCTCTGTACGTACCTTCGCATGTAGTGGTATTTGATAACAACTGCGATGACGAGGACATTGGCCGTCACGGCGAGTGCTATCACGGGCACGTACAAGATGATCAACAAGTAATTGGTCTCGTTAAATCTGCTATAGGTGTACCAAAGTATCTCTTCGGTGATATCCACCTGGAAGCTCTTGTTCGACATCGTTGTATCGTTGTACAAGTCATTGAAACTTGACGAAGATGTTGTCGATATCATTCTCTCGAGTCTCGTTCGTTTAACCGAACGTTTTCTGTCCCTTTGACGATATTACTTTACGGAATTTTCCTTTGCTTCAATTTGCAGGCCGTAGGTTAACGAAATATCAGCTTCCCGCTTTTTCGCGAAGCGGAGCTAGTTGCGCTAAATTGCTCTTTCTTTGTCGAGTCAAAAATTCAGGAGTACCTATAGATATTTGGACCGGGGAATTCTGGGAAATAGTAAGACAATTTCGAAATATTAACCCCTTGTCGTACTTTGACGAGTTGCGCTCGCAGTTCAAATATAATAAACCTTACTCAAATTTTTAATACTCAACCTAAAATTTGAGTTCAACTATAATTTGCGTTATTAAGGACTGAATATAAAATACTTTTAACATTTTACTTTTCTTTCTTTGTTTTAATGTTATAACTATGAGTAGTTACTGTCGACTGATAAATAAATTGTACGTCAAGGAGTTAATAACTCTGCATACTGACATTGAGGATTTGCAAATCTCTAAATGTTTATGAATATAAAAATATAGAAATTTGAAGATCTCTCGGGATCTAGCGATCTAGGATTACATAGAAGTTCATATACACACCTCTCGATATAACACACACGTATGGTTCACAATATTTGCATGAAGTTCGGTCTAATTTTCGTGATTAAATCGATCACCTTCGATCGGTAATCGTCGCACTGGATCACCGTGAGTTATTCAAATATTTATAAAGTCAATTCGAAAACACTTCCTCCGTCAATTTCCGATATGGGAATAGCGGAGGCGGTTGCAAACGACACTGTCCAATTTATCGTTGAACCCGACATTTTCATGAAAGTATCCTCATCGATCGATCCCATTACCGGCTTATCAATCAGGGAGATCCAATGAGGCTATCGACGCTTCGCTTTAATCGTTTCAGGCTAATTGAATCCGTGAAATCTTGAATCGCGTCGAGAGAGCGGTTGATAACCATCGAATGATCATCGATCCGGTCAATATCGCGTTAGCGGATGAATTTTCGAGATGTCGTTTACTATTTTTGTTTTCATCCGCTGCGATCCTCGTTTCACGCTTTTCCCCCTTTTCCGTGCAGTTCAAGCTGTCAGTAGCAGAACTGTTTGAAGCTGGAATACGGTTACACCGTGTCTATTTGTGCCGCGAATTCATTATGCCGACATTCCAACAATTTTGCATCATTCGATCCGACAGAAAGTTTGTTCGCAACCGGGAATCAATGCATTTCATGAATGAAAATGTCGCGATGGAACTCGTTTTTATGGGAAACGAATTTTACTGAAATTGCTGTGTGACAGAGCTGCACGAGAATTTATCGAAGACATAGGTACGATTTTACACGAGATTTGCATTAAAGTCTTCTAGACCAGAGGGGTCGGGCTCTTTCTTTTTTACATAAAAAATTACCCTTTCGTCAGACGGAATGTGTAAAAGATTAAGGTCAACGATGAACAAGAGGTGTGTAGGGTAGCAATCTACACTAGAATTTCCTTACTTTGCCACTCTTCACATTACTAGCAAATTGCTTCAAATTTAGAAATTAGAATTTTTAGGAATTTACTTTGAGAATTTAAGAACTAGAAAATGTCTAAATCTCTAAATACAAAAGCTCTAACTTCATGAACGTAGAAATGTAAATGCAACATCCCGCTTACAAAAAATAATGAAACGAATTTGACACGCTGTCAGACACCTCATCGCAACACTTGTGTCCATCGACTACCCATCACCGACCATTTTCATCCAATTTCTCGACATAAAAAATAATTACATTCTCCATCCTCTTCGATACATCGGTTATTCGCAGATTAACATCTTTTAACAAGAATCGAAGCTTTTATCTTCGGTGTTATCGAATTAAGATTCCTTTGATCGAACTTGCAATGCGATTGGGCAGTTCCGCAGTGATACACGATCAAAACTCACGGCAGACCGATGAGGATACACGCGAGAAGTTTCGGAAGCGGGACCACGGTAAACTGAAAAGAAGAATCCCGCCGGAGCTCTTGAAAGCATCATAGACGTGGACACCGCTCGCGCACGTTCCTTCAATCGCGCCTGCGTCCTCTTGTCTTCCTCTCTGTGCCCTCTTCCTTCCTGTATGCCGTATTATTCACCACCTATGTCGTGCGTATTTGAAAAACCGTCGATCCGACTTGATCCCTCCATCCATAACGCCTGACGGACGTTATCGCCGCTCGAGGACCTGGAACATCGCAAAATGGTCTTTTTCTACCCTCACAATTAGTGCACCTCTTGATTCATCGCTCCAAACGTGGCGGGACAATGATCTTGGCTATTCTTTTTGTGATAAGATTTTGATAATCGAGTTGTCGTCGACAATTGCTATTGTGAATGATACTTTTTTCGAAGGATTATTTTTGAGGATTTAAAAGAAGAGTATTAGAAGAAGAACCCTCTGAATACGTTCTGCACCATAGAAAAGAAACACAGTAGAAATTAAAATTTTTTTTAGAATCGAAAGCGTTTCATTAGATTCACAAATTTGGACTTTGTACTTCTGGACATGAATTTTACTTTCATTGTATAATTTGTACATAAAAATTAATTCTATTAGGTTATGACACCTCAAAATAGATAATAATAATTATTACAAATGATATGATAATCCTAAATACCTTTCGTACAGAGTTCAACTATGTTTTATGTAACGAAACCAAGTGTCCGGATACTTATGGACGATAGTGAATTTCGCAGCCCTACGGACCTTTCTGATCGCTCCTGGTTCCTCTAAGTGACAAATGTGATTTACGGAAAATCCTGAGGTGCTGCGCCCTAAATAGATAACAAATGACTAGTTCCCGAAATCTTGTATCGTTCTGCTTTTATCTAGGCTTTCTGTTGTACGAAGGGTCGAACATCAGCAACCACAGGATTACAGGGTTTAATAACACGCGAATATACAGTGTGTAATCTCATGCGTATTTTGTTGAGCAGTCTCTATAGACTCGTTCGATGACAAAGATGAATTGAACTCACGAAATTAACCCGATGATGCGGTTACTTTCACCCGCGCTTCTTTATTATACCAGTTTATTTTTTGTGGTGTGCAAGAAAATGACAAACCGTTCTATCATGATTCGAAGCAAGAATATCGTCGTAATCAGTAATGAGAAACATCTGTTGACGTAATGCAATTATCTAGGTCAGACATAGATCAACGTGCAAGTACGTAGAGAACGTCTGTCCAAATTTCCAAATTTCCACGTTTTCAAATTTAAAATATAATAGAGGACGTCTGTCCAAGTTTCCAAATTTCCACGTTTTTAATTCTAAAATATAAGTCCTCAAAATAGTGTCCACGAGTTCTATGTAGGTCAATAGCCGAGACATTAATCACCAACTCTGCCCACATTTTCTTTTTTTAAGACACCCGACGTTCTTGAAATTATCCTTCGAAGTAATTATCTGACGTGATTAAAGCTGGAAAACATCCGTAAACAGATAAGTTATATAATTATTCGGATCAAAGAATCCTTCCACGGATATCTTATTCCTTTTTCTTGATAATTCGAAGCATCTGCGGAAATAATTTGTCTTAACACGATTAGAGCCGGAAGACATTTGCGAAGAAATTGATGACGATTATCCAGGTCACTAGATGCTTTTACAGATATTAATCAACAACCCGCCCGTATCGTTCCTCTTCCCTTTTTATAGAGTACGCATCAATTGATGAACAATTTCGGTGCTGGAATTTTATCCAAATTGAAAGACGCCATAACGCATCCAAAGTGTGTCAGTGCTTTCAGGTTTTCCTGCCATTATACGCGCCGAAGGAATCGATGGCAAAGCAAGGACAGACAATAAATGAAAAGACAGAGTATCGCTTCATTAAGTACGGTCTGTGGAGCAGGGCGGGCGCGATTGATTTAAAGCAATTAATTTTCGAACGATACAAAGGGGCATGACACGAAAAGACAATAATGACTACAAGTGGAAAAGGTTACGAGAACGTGACTACTCTTGTATTAATTGATTCTCTACCCAGAACGGGGGTGTTCTTTTCCCGGAGTCTTAAAATATTTGAACAACTCGTACCTGTTGATATCTGCCTTTCTATAAAAACGTGTTTTCAATAGAAACAAAAGAATTAAACGTTCGCGTTTAATATTCGATTAAACTCTCTAAGAAATATCGATGTCATCGATGTTTCCGTGTTGCTTATTTATCAAACAGATTTTCTTTTCGCGCGCTGATTTCGAACACATTATTGTCTCGAGCAGACATGCAAGTTCACGAGAAACCAACGATAGTAATAATAAACAAAACTCCGAATGAAATGGAGAGATTCGTAAAGTGCAGAAGATTCGCGTTTGTGCGATGCGAGGGACGAAAATAGCGAACGATCAACCGTGGCACAGGAAACGATTTCGACCGAACGATACTCGGTGCATTTTATAAATAAATATATGCATCTTTGGCGTATGGTTGTTTGCTTGGGAAATAAACTGCCTCAAATAAAATCGCAGTTTCGAAGCTGAGGAAGTGGTAATGAATACATCGTTAAAATCGAATTCGTGTTTTCCGATTACGAGAGGAAAAGTTCAATTGATAGCGCGAATCAACTGCGTTATACTGCAGTGAATTACAATTCTTTTATAAATGGACTTGATAATCTTATCTACAAAAGTTTACATTGGTAAATAAAATGTTCTATATTGTTATTTTTACGATTTTTTTATTTTAAATCAGGGGGATAAAAAATTAGTACACGTGGCGCCATCTCTCCGGCGAACGGGGCGAACTACGCGGTTTTGAAACTGCAGTTTCAGTAGTTCCCATGCACTGCCGCTAGGTGGCGGCACCTTTATCGTCTGTCAAATAAAACTTTTTTATTTTGGGATATAAACAGTATAAATTAATGCAAAGGCATTTTTCTAACCTTTCTACAGTCGTAAAATAATTTATGAACCTCAAAAATAGCTAAATATACCTTATTTTATGAAAAATATTTTATCTACATTCCGTGCTTGGCCGTTAGATGACTCAGTGGTACTGTTCCGCGAGAAAGCGCGCGAAAATATGAATTTTGAAAGACCTACTCAGACCAGGCGTCCTCAAGAGTTTTATGAACACTTTAAAGAAGTATTAGCTATGAAATTAATGTCCGTTTTAACAACTTCGATGTTATAAGCAGTTAGCATACTTTTTACTTAAGCTGATTAGCCATCTAACAGTGAAAGAAAGAACTAATTATTTATGATCTAACACGGTGATCGACAATTGCACTCGTTTTTAAATTTTAATATATTCTCCCTTCCCTTTTATGTCTTTCAAACCCTTCTATAGAATCTCTCCATGTTTTCCCTAGCACCATAAACTCTTTCTAGACAGCTTTACGATATGTACTAATTTCTGATATACTTTGTGTTTGAAGTACTTCAAATATAAATATCGCTTCCTAGGTAGAAGCACGAAAGATATGAAGAAAAAATGCATGACAATCTATACTTATTGTTTTATTTAAGATATTAAAGCATACAATCCAATAGAATTCTTCCAACTATATGACGTTTCAGTAAGTGAAAAGTCGAACTATTGGGGGCGTTCGCTGACCATTGCTGCATGCTACTTGACGGCTCGTGTCTGTCCAGCATTGCAAGAAGAAAACATTGTTTTATAGCTGTGCTTCGTAAGATCCCATCACTGTGCAGAGATGACGTCTCGGCTGGAAAAAGAACGTTCGAAGCAGATACAAGAGAAATGTCAGAATCTTTTGACACTTATGCTACGCGACGAAGACAACAAGTATTGTGTCGACTGCGATGCGAAAGGTTCGTGCGTCAATTGTGAATTATCTAGCGATGTCTTGTCTCTGTTCGAGCGATGAAGCCCCTTTAGTCTGTCCACTCCCTGCGAACATTGCAAAATTGCAATTTTAAAAACTACAATGCATGTAAGTCATCGATATCGATCTCAAAACGACCTAGTTTCGCCCAGTGAAACACGTTATAGATTTTTAATTCCTTCATGACAAACCTTAGATGACAGCGATTACGGGTGAACGTCATCAACGTTTCACAGTCATCCGTATCTGTTAATGTGTACGTTTTCTATCTTTTATTGATTTTCATGTAAAACAGATTTTACACATCAACAAATTTATGTATAACCTGAACTTTTTACCATGCTGCATTTCTTTGAATCATCTGTTAACATACATTACTCAACATTAGAATCTAGACAGTCATGATTTTTCAACGTTAATCCCAATTTTATATTTTGTCGTTTCATAGGACCAAGATGGGCTAGTTGGAATCTAGGTATATTCCTATGCATTCGTTGCGCCGGAATACATAGAAACCTTGGAGTTCATATAAGTAAAGTCAAATCTGTTAACTTAGATACTTGGACACCTGAACAAGTAGTGGTATGCATATTATTTGTTACTATAATTTTTAATGTTGATGGTCAGTCTTAGCATGTTTTAATTGTTTACAGAGTTTACAGCAAATGGGCAATTCACGAGCTAGGGCAGTATATGAAGCAAACCTTCCAGACAGCTTTCGAAGACCACAAACTGATTGTAGTCTTGAAAGTTTTATTCGTGCAAAATATGAACATAAAAAATATATAGCTAGAGAATGGGTGCCGCCTCCTTTACCAAAGGTAAATTGGGATAAAGAACTGGATGAAGAGGCTGAAAGACAACGTAGACGAAAAAAGGAGAGTTCTAAAACCTCCAATAATCAAACTATACTTCCACCTGTTAAAAAACCAGAAGTTGTGCCTCAGTTGCCAAAACCTAAAAGCTCTGTCAGTCCAAAACCTAATAGAGCAAACAATTCTGCAACTTTAGACTTGTTAGGATTAGGTATACTTTGGTCACATATATTTCTATAATATCAGGCAAAAAAGATATTGTTAAATTGCACTAATTATCAACAGATGCTCCAGCAACAAATCAAGCAAATGTAAATGGTAGCGGGGACGATATATTTTCTTCATTTTTATCCGCACCTCCAGCTTCAGCATCTACATCTGGTAGTAGTACTTCAAACACAACTACAAATACATCAACAACAGTGAGTAAAAGTGAAGAAGAAAGCTTCTTTGAGCAACCAGCATCATCTCTGCAGGAGAAGAGTAAAATGTCCAAAGACAGTATTTTGGCTTTATATGGTACACCAAGTCATCAGCAATCAACAATGTTTGGAGTTCCTGGTACATATATTACTCCAAATATATTTCTATGTTTAAAATGTTTATGCACTTTTCACTATGTTATATGTTAGGTGGAGTATATCCTCAGCAGTCTACTGTCCAGTACAAACAAGTACCAAATATGGTAGCATTTGGCCAACAAAGTTCCTTGACTCAACTCAATCACCTTCCTGCTCAAATGCCTGTTGCAACTAATCAGATACCTGTCAATCAAAATCAGATTGCGGTAAATCCTTCATTAGGTTCAGTGGCATCGAATTCTTTAGGAAATTGCTTACATGTAGGACAAGTAAATCAGATGAATGGTGTACCTAACTCTGCCATTGCAATGCAATCCCAAATGGTATATCAATTTATGTACTATATCATACCAATGATGTCAGATCTATTCCTCAATAAATTAGTTGTTTTATATATTAGATGATGCAAATAGGACAATCTAATATTAGTAGCAACAATGGATGGAGTGGAGTATTAACACAAAATCTTCAGCCAGCTCCTGGTAGTAATCCTTTTTTCAATTTAACAACCCAAAAGCAACAACAGTCTGTTCCTTTTGGTGCTCAGGTATGAAAATTACATGAGATTTTCTCCATTTTTTTTTGATACATACTACTTATGATTATTTTTATATTTCAGTTACCACAACAGATGTCACAACTATCTTTAGGTGGTACAAATTTTTCGAACACGCCAGGAAAATCTACCGCTACGGCACTCCCTGGACAAACGCTTTCCAGCAATTTGTGGCAGTAAAAGTCTTATGGATATTGTTAGTTGATTGATTATTCCATTCAGTGTTATACACTAGTGTCAAACGTTCGTTACCCACTATGATTACATTTCCATCCTAGTTTGGAAACTGCTCTGGGACACAACGCAATTGAGAAAAACGAAAGGTACTCGAATACTGCCATTTCCGGAAAACAATTCGTGAGTGTATACGGTATTTCGAGTCAGAAAATATTTTTCTTCTACGGCTTTGCTAGCTTTCAACGTTATTGTTGGAAAGGTGGAAACTACGAATAAAAACGAATTTTTGACTGATTATAAAGAGTTATTCGTGACGTACGCTACATATGTATTCAACAACGTAACCATATTATTTGCTAAAATGGGTGCTTTTGTAATCACGATGAATATACGTCAGGGTCCACTTTCATGATGATACAAAAATTTTATTATACCATGAAAGGTATAAGTATGATTATTATAATAAGCGTATTTTGCGACACTATTCATTTTCCCTTAAAATACGAACCTGTAAACAGAATATGTAATAGTTCACGAACTACTAAAGTTCCCGAAAGAGTTGTACATTAAAGGCCACTTTACTTAAAAAGTGACTTCAATAATTTTAAAAACGAACTCGTTTCCAAGCGTAGCGTTATAATAATTGTATGCAATCAAAATGTACTAGAACCTTTAAATGTTTGGTTTCTAATTTTATATTCATTTATGTAAAAAATTGTAATGAGAATCTCTTGTTCCGAACATTGTTTTTGTACTTGTAAGCGTATTGTTTAAAAACGGTAACCACACGATGTTGACTGCAAATATTATAAAATTAAATGCATTTCATTTTATTTTATAAATATCTAATGGCAGAGACTTAATGAACCAAACATGTTACCTACACTTTGATTCTTATTACATGTATGAAATATCAAAAAAATTTGTTAGTAAGCTGTTTATGTCAAAAAATAATTTTAGTTATTATTGATTAATTATCAGTATTTAGTTAGTATCCTGTGTAAAGCAGAGACATGTATTTCTCTATTATAAAATTTATAACTTATTGCCATATAACACAATGAGTATTGAAACGTGACAATAAGTTTTGAATATATTTCACTTTCATGTTTTATTATATTCAATTTTTCTCTTATAAAATAATACTGAATATAAAGTGCACGGTATAGACGTATTCAAACATTTCTTTCATTTACATCATAGCAATCTACATGATAGTAACTGTGAACAATTAGGCCTTGTAACTTACTGTTGCAGTGAGAGTTTAACATATTGTAAAACTGATGTAAGTACAAATACATGTTGTCAAAATGTAAAGAAAAGTTTATAAAATTATCGACTGAGAGATTCATAACGTTATAATAATAAAATCGAATATACCATATTGAATTATGCTTAAACGTCCATAAATATAATAAATAATAATCTTTATCAATAGAGATTTCAAAATGGATATAAAATCTTCTAGAAACTTTAAAAAAAACGCGTACCATGTTCGGCGCCAAAATCGTCATGTGCGTATGCGCGTTGCTCTTGGTTACTACTGATGCTTGAACCAATCATAGCTGACATGCGCAGTAAAATATAAATTCTTCGTTCGCTAGTTATGTTTTTTTGCGAAAGAAGTATTTAAAATAATTAAATGCTCCTCACCAAAAAATATATACTTTCTCTAATAAGGTACAGAATCAACTTGTATTTACTATTTTTACTCTGAAGTATTAATCTATGTAATTAATTCATATCAGAGGCAACTTACCGGAAGTCGCCATTTTTCAATATCGAATATCGAAGAGTGAAGCATTCTTTCACTTCCTTAAAACGTCTCTTGCAAGTCGCATCAAAGCCACGTGAGACAAACATGGATAAGCCAGTTGTTTTAGCTCGAGTTATTAAGGTCCTAGGCCGAACTGGTTCACAAGGACAATGTACACAAGTAAAGGTCGAATTTCTGGGTGAACAGAACCGACAAATTATTCGCAATGTCAAAGGACCGGTACGAGAAGGTGATCTCCTAACCTTATTGGAATCTGAACGTGAAGCAAGAAGGCTGAGATAAAAGGATATATTGCTAAAGCATTGATATCACCAACACTGTATGGATTCTACAAAATGCAATTCATTCCATTAATTAAAACTGAGAACCGAGCAACTGTTCTGATACAACGAGCACGTTCAAAATATCCATGTAAATGACGATGTTTGCGACTTGTGTAATAAACACTAACTAATATCTAACAAAATATTTATTTTTTATTTTATCCTGTTTTCATATTTCGTTTTTATCCGTTGAATATTGTAATTTATAACTGTGGTGTCTAATAATGTGTTAGTTTAGAGTATTATGTGTTTACCTTGTAACTTAATTACAGAGTGTGATATTTACAATGATTTAATGCAGAATTTTGTTACGAAATGAACATATAGTCTTTCATATACCTTCACGTGATTTCACGCGATATGTAAAGAAGTACACAATTTGCGTTTTGTTTATACTTTGAAATGTAAATTACGTTTGTTCATAGTATAAGGTACAAGTAACTTGAACTTTAAAGAAATTGTTATATCCTTCTTCGCTTTGGTGGAGGTGTATCGCGTGGACTGGAAGATGCCTTGGATGAGCTATCCATGCTCTGTCTAGTTGGTCGTTTTGGAACCCTCTTTAAACTTTCACGACCGGAGTCAGAATCCTTACGTTCCTTTTTCCCATTTGATCCTAAGATAAGGAGTTATTAGATTTTAAGAATATTATTTGTAATGTCTATAGGCATTACATATACCTGATTCCTCAAGATCATCTTTTCCTTTTGACCTTCCTTTAGAAGATTTATAATCCTTCCTAACATCCTTAATATCCCTAAGTTTATCTTTCTTCATTTCTATATCCTTCACATATTTTTTAAACTCTTCCTTTTTTTTATCAATATCTTTGCTTCCTTTAAGATCACGAAGAACAATATCCTTTTTCATAAGATCTTTCATATCTTTTTCTTTCTTAATTTCTTTGTATTTATCCCTCTGTTCTTTTAATTTCAATTCTGGCTCTTCCCTCTTTCTAGATTTAAGTGGTCCCAAAAAATCTTGTTCCGGCAAAGCAAAGTCTATTTCTTGACTCGGAAAGGGTAAATCTTCCATATCATCCTAAAATGATTTAAATGCACTTCCAAATTTATGTCAAATAAGTATGCCAAAGTTTTTAAAATTGCAGTAAGTACCAGAGCCATCAAATCATACATTGATTCCAAATGTTCCCAAATAGTTTTCAGTGATACATCTTTATGAATAGCAGCACGAAACTTTTCCCATATGCAGACCATGTGGAAGTATTTATTAATTCCTTGGAAAATAAATATTCAATGAAATCTTACTAAATAATGACATATAGTTTGTATATAATTATTTTAATGTAAAACCGACGTAAACATAACCTGTGCGTTCTCTATCAAATCTTACCAACAGGTTTATGTCCGTTCATAGCAAAGAATAATTGAATTTCATTTTCAACATTCCATTCTATCTCATCAGCAGAAGTTTCTGTTTGTTTTTCTTTAACTGCCATTATTAATATCTATAAAAGTTTCTCATATAATCTTGAATCAACTTTCTCGCGCTCGCGTTATCATTCTGAGCAGTACTGCCAACTGTTTCGCTTTCAAGATACTCAGGTAATTTTACTACGATCAGCACATTATTGAAGATTGATGTAATCAACCAATCAGCACGGAAAACTATAAAATTTCTTGTACCTCCGCACTGTCCCTGTCAAAGAGAATACTAACTCACTTATATTATTTTATGACTATAGGATTGTTGCAGATTGTTGTTTCTCCTTCATACGGTACCCGGCAATAGCGGCGTGATCGAAAATATTTCCAGCTGTTGATTATAGACTTTTGATAAATTGGGTGCACATCAAATAATTGTCTGCATTGTATTATGGTGAACTTTTAGTTCTCTTTTTTTTCTATTCGAATGGATACTAATCTTTTGAGTTAAATCGGATAAAATAAAGAAACTACCAAAGCTACACAATGGTTCAAGTGCGATATACTCGTAATTTATTCTTGCGAGGAATGTGTATCATATACCTCTTTGCATTTCTTAGCTTTTACATACAAATTCCAGGTAAATATCTTATAGATTTAATGTTCATTCTAATATTTTCTATTTGCTCTTTCCCTTTTCTCCCCTCTTTTTTTCTTCATACCACGTAAGATATATATTTAGATTTTAATTTTAATTAATGGCTTACTTAACATGTAATGGAAAGAAATAAGAATTACTTATAATCATTAAATATATTTGTTAAATAAATATGATAGTACAAAAATTTTCAGTTTTTATTTATGTTATAGCATAAATAATGCCCTATAATAACATAAATTTAATTTTTATTAACTACTTTGTTTAAAATACTTGCATTTGTTGTTCACAAAAAGGATTGTATGGCGATAATGGAATTCTACCAGCTAGAACTCAATTGGATTTAAAAAATTGTGCACCTATGGCTCACAAGTTACAGCAGAAACCAACATTGTTATGGTTTGCTCCTTATATTGGACTAAATGTAGAATACATGTTGGATGTAGTTTCGCTTATTGGAATTGTTCTCTCTTTTGCTGGGTAAAAGTTTATATTCTTTTCTCTTTTTTTGTTACTTTAAATAATATACAGAAAATGTTAACAAATGATTTTTTTATAGGTTTATTTCACAGAAGTTTTGCATTGCACTGGTATTTGCATTACTTTGGGCATTATATTATTCTTTGTACCAAATTGGCCAGACATTTATGTGGTATCAGTGGCAAGTATCAAACTTTTAAAAATAGTATATATATAAATTTGTAGTAAAAACAATAGACAAACAATATATTATCTGTTAGAATGTTTCATTATTTTTCAACTGCATCTCATGCATTCTATGTATTCCCACAGGGATGTACTTTTATTAGAAGCTGGATTTCTATGCACACTTGTTGCCCCATTTTGGTATTCTCAACATGGAAAAATAAGTACACCAAGTGATGCTGTAACATTCTGGACCGTACGTTGGTTACTTTTCCGCTTAATGTTTTCCAGTGGAGTGGTAAAACTTACTTCTGGTTGTCCTGTATGGTGGAAATTGGATGGTAGAGTATTGAAGTGTAGTAGGCTAATATTCCCTAAATGAGAAGAAGTATCATCATCTTCATAATTTTATATTGCCATTTCAGCTCTAAATATCCACTTCCAGTCACAATGTATACCTACTCCGCTAGCGTGGTACGCGCATCATCTGCCAGCGTGGTTTTTACGGTTCACTACGGTGATCGTTAATGTTCTCGAACTTGTCGTTCCATTTTTATTCTTCTTCCCAAATAGGAAAGTGAGAATAGCAGCATTTTATTCCCAGGTAAATATCGATCGATCGATACGAATACCACTTCGTTATATAACGATCGAAGGTGATTCTTCTTATTTTGATTACAGGTATTCTTGCAAGTACACATTATAGCAACAGGAAACTATAATTTCTTCAATTTCTTAACTATTTGTTTGTGCACTTCTCTACTCGACGATCAATTCTTTTACAAAAGGAAATCTAAGACCACTTCTTTCAATTTTACGAAATATCTTTCTACGATATTGTGTATATTAGTGTATGCAGGAATCTTTTATGGAACGTATGTCTATTATAATCTTCGAATCTCAGATAACTGGACAATCCAAAGCGATATCGGTATGTATGCACTAGTAACATAACTCATTATACGAACGCTTGATGACTAATTAATACTTTCCTTGTTAAAACTGTGATAATTGTTTTCAGGGTTCACACAGGAACAATTTGATCATGTACTGTCACGAATAATCCCGATTTCTATTTATATCGGTGTAATATCTCTTGGTATTACGGTAGCAAATGCAATAGTCGCTTCTTTATTAGCGGTAAAAGGACTGAAAAATAAAATTTTTACGACTTTTGTTACGGTTTTGTATACAGTAGCAGTTTGTTTTATCTTTGCTATAAGTATTGTAAGTAAATGCATATAGAGCGATCAAAAATTTATTCAAGTTGTCTATAACTAAGATAGAAATAACTTTTTCTCTTTGCTTCTTTCTGATCAGGTACCATATTCTACGCTCCATCAAGCACCTAATTCCACGGTACCTGCTCAATTAAAACAGGTGCATAAGAAAGTGGAACATCTTCATTTGGTAAACAGTTACGGACTATTTAGACGTATGTCAGGCGTGGAAGGCAGACCAGAAGTGATCATCGAAGGAAGCGATAACATTGACGGGCCGTGGAAAGAATACGAATTTTTATATAAGCCAGGAAATGTTAATAATTCGTTACCATTTGTTGGTAGGTCACGTTAGACGATTTCTACCAGATAATTTGAGATGATTGATTCAACTTATAACATTTATTCCTAGCTCCTCACCAACCACGACTCGACTGGCAAATGTGGTTCGCTGCATTGGGTACTTATCATCAAAATCCATGGTTAATGTCTTTGGCCTATCGCCTTTTGAGTGGTCAATCCGAGGTTCTAAACTTAATGAATAACGTGGAGAACCCTTTCCGTGTAAAACCACCAAAATATATCAAAGCTAGTCTCTATCGTTACCATTACACCCCATGGAGTCAGTCGTAAGTATTTTTCCAGTCAATACTTCTTATGTTTTATATTCGCTAACATTACCTTTTTTCGTACACGTTTGTTACGCAGGCGAGGCAAGCAAGCTTGGTGGACAAGAGAAAAGATCGCGGAATATTTTCCGATATTAAGTCACGATCACCCGCCACTCATCGAATATTTATCAAAAAAGAAAATTATTCAGGATAAACCAACTTATAAAGTTACAAACGAACCATTGAAACTGTTCCTGGACAGCGTGAGATCTGTGATCCACAAAGTAGAAGCTAGTCTTCTGTTGTGGGGAGTTTTTACAGCAGGTTATGCAATCATCATAACTAACTATAGTAGTTCTGTTTCAAAGAAAAAGTAACTATTTGACTGAGTTTGACGGAAAATAATTTTCAACCGAATAAGTCTGTAACGAAATACGTATACGTATAATGGAAACGGTCATCAGGGTTTAGACACTTCCGTCAGTTTAACGATAAGAAAGCTTGGCTTCTTTTGTCCCCTCGTATGTATTATTGTCGGATTAATGTCGAAAAATATGTTACTTTTAACAGAAGGCTATTACGATTACCCTATGCCAATTCCATGGAGTATATACGTATATGTATCTATTGGCAGTTTAATTGAACGGTACAAAATTAAAAACGTTAACGAATAATTGCTAATTGCGTCGTGTATCGAATATCGCGAAAGAATCATTCGATATATGGAAAACCACAAGATTTATTTCTGTTATTTGTTTTTCAAAAGCCAAGTTTTGGAAAACTTGTTTTGTTGCTTCTACGTATTTAAATTTTCTTTAATATTTACATCTATACGTATGCGTTTTCTTCCTCAGTTTTCCTTGCATATAAACAGTGCATTCACCGCAACGATGTTTTTATATTAACTTTCACCGTTTCAAACTGTGTAAGGCAGTCTCTTTTTACCTAGCTTAAGTTCTTCTGCGAAAATGCAGAAATGCAATAGAAACAAGACGAGTATGGTATTTTTTAAAAAAAACTATAACTATACACAGTGAACCGTACAATCAAACGGTTTATTAGTTTTTCGCTAAAAAAAGGAAAAACAAAGTTACATATACCTACTCTGTAATGTTGTACTGTTGCATACGAATTGAAAGAAAAAGTAACAAGTGTAACTAATACTCTTAACTGTTTACAGAAATGAAATGATGATTGTTTATAAATTTTTGTTGTGCGTATTTACTTTTAATTGATTATTAAAACAGTAATAAATAAACGATACGTTTCGAAATTGACGATATACTTAATCGATAGAATTAATGATAGATTTATTCTCACTTTCAGGTATAAAATTGGTGTACCGTTATTACAGAGAAGGGATACTTCAGTTTCGTATCAGTATCGTACTTGATAAAGGATGAACGAAACAACTATAGAAGGCGAAATGGCCTTGTTATTGGTTTAGATTTTTATTAATTTTATCTAACGTTCGTAACTTTTTTATTTGATAGTTCTAATATATCTGACACCTCGGACGTTTTTCTCTTTCCATGTTCTGAGTTTATGTCCTCCATCGTATCTATCACATACACTTCTGGCAACGCTGTCTTTGACAAACCTATCGGATAACGAAATAATTGTTCTAAACGCGTTTCTAATAACTTAAGGGCTTCTTGACCTCTGTACGAGCGTTGTGCTATACACTTATTTAATCTCATATATTTTTCAGTCGATCGTCTTGAAACTATTATATTCTTCAAACTAGATACAGTCGCATGGGTTGCTTGTATCGCGGGCACATCTTTGTCCGTGGTTACTTCCGTTTCGGAGGTAGGCAACGAATACGTTTCTTCAGGCATATTAAATAACGAGTAATTTTTCTGAACAATTTGCACGCGCGATTTTTTATGTTTATTTTGTAATTTGGCGCACCTACGAGTATCGGGGTCCTTTCTGTCGGATAATTTATTAAACATGGTAATGTGTTCGTAATCCAAATGTGTTGGTCCATTCTTGTTCAATTTATTGCCGTTCGAATCGTTCCTATTGATACTATTATCATTATTGCGCTGATGGTGACGTATTGGAATATTTCGAAGATAACACCATTTATCGCTGGCATTGGTTACTCGAAAGCACCGGCTAATCTTTTGAAACTGTAATTGTTGCTCGTGACCACCAATTTGAGAAATAACGAAATGTGGAGTATCCATTTCTATTGGTTTTTCGAGCAAGAACTTATTATTTATATCTAAATTGTAATCGATGCAGTTATTTGCCACAGATTTCTTTAACTTTACTCGCGAATCAAAAGGAGGAGGCGGTATAAAATAAGAACCTCCTTGTTTATTATGATTTTCTCCGAACATGCGTAAACTATATTTATCTATAAGTTCGCAGCGTTTTTCTTGATCAGACTTCAGTATAGCGTATTCTCTCAACGAACATAAAAGTTGTTGATCTCTGTCATTTAAATCAATAGCAGTGACATTATCAGGTATGAAAAGCTTAGCATTTAATTGTTGTAAAATATCGTATAAATTTTTTGTATCGCGCATTAACTCTTCGCTAGTATAAAACTTAGTCTTCCGAGTAGGTTTGGTTTGTTGCTTTTCATGAAAATATTTGATCAATTCTATATCTACGTTGTTATCATCGACATCATCGTCGTCGTCGTTATTATCAATGTCATTGTCATCATCATCGTCGTTGTCATCATCGACATCGTAGTCATTGTTATCGTGTTTATTGAACGAACCTATTCTATGATCAAACGTATTGTTGCACGATACCTCTTCTGTCTGTGGTTTTTTTACCTCATTTGCATTCAAATACTGCTTTCTACGTAAATCAACCATAGAAATTTTGCCTCTTTTAATGTGCTTCTGCAAAGCAGCGTGCCGATGTCTTAGCTGAGTTCTCGTTTTATGCGAAAATGCTTTAGCTATTCTTGACCAATTTGGACCAAAGCGTGCATAGAGATCCATCAATTTAGAATCTTCTGCAAACGTCCATACCCTCCAATTTTCAATCTGATTGTTGGTTAATGTTTCATAACGATCATGAAGTTGAACAGTTGATCTGTTAGGCATCAATGCTGCAGATATTTTACGAAAGTTTGTACCAAACTTGCTGACTGCATCTTTTAAAAGTCTGTCTTCATTTTTAGTGAATCTACCCTTGGTTAAATAAGGTGCTATACTGTATGTCCATCTGAAATAAGTTTGCTGTTTAGTTCTATTTTGTACCCAATTGGCTACCTCACCCCAAGGAATAAAATCACCAATTTGGAATATTTCCACCAGTTTTAAAAGTCTTTCATCCTCTTCTGGTTTCCATGTGCAATTTTGAACTTTAGGCAATTTTTTAGTAGTATTATACCTGATAAAACATTGATATGCTGTACGATTTGTATCTAATTCTTCTGCAATTTTGTCCCAGTTTTGAAACTTATGTTTCTTCGCTATTTCTTTTAATTTAACATCTTCCAACTTTGTCCAAACATTTTTATTGATGTCAGGATGAAGAAATACATTCCACATAACGCGACAATCGAGTGAAGAATGTATATCATCAAAGTGAATAGATGATATTTTAAACCAATCAAATTCTTTTTCTTTCAATGGACCGATCAAAGCTGAAAAATCTGTAGGGAATGTATCATTCTTCTTTTTGTATTTGATATTGTGGGAGGAATCAACTGATGCATCATCGACTAATTCATCATCTTCCTTTTGAGGGCACAGTACATTCGCATAAGCCTCTTCTTTGACTGCATCCAGCAGCGTATTTCTTTCTTTCATCGTCCATGGACAAACTTTAGGCAGGTTTCTGAGCTGCAGTTCTTTTTGACTTTCCTTTATTATTTCATCTTCATTATTGGTTGGAAAAAAATAATTTCTATCTTTGAAGTAAGGTATACCAGCATTGCAAACTAAAACTTTTGCATCTCCAACTGCGTGTTTCTGTAAACTCGTTTCTATTACTGCCAATTTTTTTTCACATTTCTGAAGCGCAAAGTTTATGTGTCTTTTTAAATCCAACAGAGAAGAGATTAGTTGCTTATTCAAATTCAATGCATCATTACAATCCTCAACATTGTATTCCGGAGCGTCTACTGCATTTTCATATTTTTCTGGTGATGGATAATCTTGAATGGATTCTTCAGAGAGGTTACATTCTTCGAGTTTATTTACTTCTCGGGCAATTTTAAAATCAATTGTATTTTCATGTTTAGGTGAGATATCTTCCACTGACAGTGATTCGAAGAAATCGTCAAAATTTGTTATTTCGTTCATGAAGAATGAAAAATGATTCTCTTATTGTTATTTTCGGTCGATTATTTGTACGCTTTCCACTTCGATCAATATATCCAGATACGAATAGTATCTGTATAAACGTTATGTTAAATGCGTATGGAACGTCAATGAAAAAACATCCTGTTTATTAAAAGGATGTATTGCGAGTACGAGTACAGGTATGTAAGCTGAAACAAAATTCGTCGCACAAAATTGTAAAAAGCACTAAGTGTACATACAACTGAAATATTATCGGAACTCGACGAATCATTCAAATATATTTAATGTTAGAAATCAAAGTACGTACTCGTCGATACAACTGTGAAAAAACGTTGAAATAATTGTACAGTAGTTTCACTGATTAAGATTTTTCTGCTCATTCTTTCTTTTTATCGTTCTATCGTGTGGCACATGTCATCAATATACGGTATATGTATGCAGGTATATGTATATACACAATGAGTGATTCGAACGCGATAACGTCGATCGATTTAAAGACTTTTCGAAGAGAAAGTGTACCAAATAAAAAGTAGAGATGGTTTAAATTGTGGTTTACTTTTTTTTTTACTAGGAGAAGTTGTGAAATATATCATTCAGATGGTAAATATATCGCTTTCGTTTGAATGAATGATAAAAAAATTATGAAAGTTTTGACTGGTTTTGACATTGGACCGGAAGTTGTGCACATATGTTTCCGACGTAGCTCCTGCAAAACGGTGCATGCGCAGTTTGTACGGTCTGAATATGTCGGCTGGATAAAATACGTTAACTGTTATCATGAGCAAAACGATTTCCTTTGGTTAAGTTTATCATCGTTAAGTTATCGTAAAAAACGGTTGTAATTAAAAAGTTTGAAGGTACGGATAACATGAATATAACTGATCGAAGAAATTGAATTGGCCATATTGTACGTGAAAAGATCGAATAAAGGAGGCCTTATGTCAAGTCGGTTCGGTATTGGGAGGGCCGACGACGTGTGCCAATATGAAGAAGTTATTTTCCAAAATCGAAAACACGTCGAAGGAACCCAACAGTTACGTAGGGAAGGTTTTTGTGGTTGGACGTTACACTGTCACCGTCGAAGAAGTTTTAGCCGAAGGTGCGTGTTATCTTCAACCTTGAATATTCATCACCCCTCCTACAGCCTTACTTTAACACTTACTTGATCACTTTTTTTTGCTTTTGATACATATTTAAAAAAATAATAAAATAATAAATTAGACAACAATATCGACAATGACATCAATAGATCATTTAGGCTCGATCCAAGATCATTGATCTAAAGGTTAATCGTAGAAACGTTTGCCGTTTCGTATTTGAAATAACATTTTAAACGCTGGAATGCTTTAAAGACTGCATGAACTCGAAGCAATAACAAATTTACGAGCTTTATATTAAATTCATGGTTGTAAATTTCGGCTTGAATACATTTTCGATGTGTGATTAGTTCGCCGCGATCATGCAATTACTATAATTATGTTTTGATAATACGTACGATTGGTAGGAGGATTCGCTATCGTGTTCCTGGTTAAATCTTCGAGCGGACGTTATGCACTTAAACGCATGTATGTTAATAATGAACATGACCTCAATGTATGTAAAAGAGAGATACAAATTGCGGTAAGTTTTCTAATGGGAAATTGTTTCTTTTACATTATTTTTCTATGGTTACTTGCATTGGTGTTTTTATTCACAGAGTAATTTAAATGGTCACAAAAATATAATAGGATACGTGGACAGCAGTATCACTCACATAGGAGGAGGAGTACACGAACTGTTGCTTTTGATGCCTTATTGTAAATCTCAAGTTCTTCAAATGATGAATAACAGGTGGAAATATAATGTATTTTGATTGAAATTAAAGTGGACACCACAGATAATTAAATTATAGAGATAGAAAGTATAGATGATACAAATACTCACATAAATTTGAACATTTCTAGGTTACAAAGTGGTTTCAACGAATCTGAAATTTTACAAATATTTTGTGATGTTTGCGAAGCCGTGTCCAGATTGCATCATTGTCAAACACCAATAATACACAGAGATTTAAAAGTTTGTCAAACATTGTCCTCAGTTATTATCATGAGAAATGCAAATTGTAATGATTCTTACTGGTTTCTATAAATTGTTTTTCAGGTTGAAAATATATTGTATTCCGATACTGGCCATTATGTGCTGTGCGATTTTGGCTCTGCAACGGCAAAAATTCTTAATCCTAGCATACATGGTGTGGCAATGGTTGAAGAAGAAATAAAGAAATATACGACCCTTAGTTACAGAGCACCTGAAATGGTGGATATGTACTGTGGAAAATCTATTACGACAAAAGCTGACATATGGGTATGATAAATTTGGAGTACCTTTACGTTTACGTTTACGTTAACGATAAAGAAGAATGATGATCGATGAAACAGATTAGTTAGAATTTTCGTGATTTTAGGCATTAGGGTGTTTATTGTACAAACTTTGCTTTTTTACATTGCCATTCGGAGAGAGTACACTCGCTATTCAATCAGGAAATTTTACGATACCGGATAATTCGAGGTTTGTGCTGGTACATTCATTGATTAGACGTATCGCTCGAATTACGTATTGTTCGCGCGCCATGTAAGTAATATGATAAAAGGAAATTATTTCGAGTAACGTTTCATTTTGTATAGGTACAGTAGAAATCTGCATTGTTTGATACGTTATATGCTCGAGCCGGATCCTGATATTCGTCCGGACATTTACCAAGTTTCCGTGATCGCTTTCCAAATCCAGGGCAAAGAGTGCCCTGTGCAAAACTTACATGTACGTATGCGCTCGTTTGTTCACGTAATGGTGAATGGATAATAGTGAGTGTACCTCTCGATTAACATTTGATTAAATTCGCAGAAAGCTTCGATCCCTGTATTGGAATCGTTGGTTTGTCCACCACTGGAGTCTGAAAACCTAAAGAGATCATCATTAGTGAAAACACCAAAGCCAACTCCGACACCGGTAACGACAGTAGAGGGTACATCGGTTACACCGAGACAACGACCAAAGGGGCAGGTCGTAAGCGCAGGCCCTATAAGTTTAAGCGGTCAGATAGTCAGCCAAATATCTGGTCAGGGTAGTCAATGTTTGCAGTCACAAGCTTGCGCGGGAAATTCGATAGCATACGTTCAAATGAGTCAACAAGTTGGTTCATTGAACGTACCGTCTCAACCGTATTTAGGACAAAACATTCAGCAAAACATACAGCAATCGGCGATAGCAGCGAACACGCAAGCAACGCAGCCGTCACTGGTTCAGGTTTCGCCGCAAATTCCAGCAAATGGTCAAGCCGTTCCGCTGGTACAACCTTCTCAACCGCATCAGGCACAGTTCGGTCAGCCGTCCCAGGCTTCCGTGGTTAGACAGCAGTCTCCCGTCACGGTTCAGGATAAAAAATCTTCGTATTACTTCGACTCCAAGTCGGGCAAGAAGGTGGACGAAGAAAATCTGGAAGCGTTGTTCCCACCATCGGGTAAAAAATTTATATGTCGAAGAGTATAACTAGGGAAGAATGGTAAATGTGATCGATATTTCCACTGCAGGGTATCCAGATCCATTCAAAGAAGATGATAGTCGAGCAATGCCACCACCTGCAAAAATACCACCCCCCGTAGCTCCTAAACCATCTAAGGTCTTACCGAAGGCGTCCAATATTTCCGTTAATTGTCCCCCACCAAAGTTGACATCCGTTACTCCGCTAACTTTAAAATTAAATACCACACCGGGAGCTAACAAGGGAACTTGCATTACGCCGCCAACTTTACCTAAACCAGTAAATAAAACCGAAAGCTTGAGTCAGAATATCAGTTCGAGCGCATCTCCACCAGATAGCCCAACATTGATCTCCGCACGGCACAGAAGAAACGTGAGCGATACGAGTGCTTTCAACAAGTAAGTTGAAGCAATGACAATATCTTTGTATCTATCAGAAATTTATTCTTACGAATGTAAATATGTAAACGTTTGTACAGAGCATTTGCAAGCGAAACGACTCAGTTTCTAGCACCGTACGAAGCTTCTGTGAAATCACGATCGGACGATGTTGCGTCTCCCGAAGTTGTTACCGATGTAAGACCTTGTCTAGGATCTAGCGCCTCACATGTACGTATTGTAAGTACACGAAGCGCAAAGATTTATCTTTTATTTTTTTATTATTTTAATTTTGTGCTATTATTTTGTTTACTATCGGGTAATCCATCCTTGTACACACATATCTATTTAGTTGAATTTGTTGGATTTTATATTTGAACACACATCGTCAATATTATAGTTATCGTAACATTTTTGTTGCTTTTTCCTTTTCGCTTTGCAATATTTATTTTGGAGATACGCACAGAAAAGAATACGATATTGTAACTTTGAGAAAAAAGGAAAGAAAGATGAAATAACGACACTTTGAACTAGGGCGAACTGTCGAGCGTAACCACAACCGAAGGAAGATCGTTGAGTGCGGATGTTGCCGCCTGGAATCCATTCGAGGACGTTCAACCTTTTAATCAGTTAACGGAAGATCATATTTTCGGTGCAGAATTTGATAAAATTAGAAGGGGAAGCAACGCGAGTACGAGTGGCGTAAAGAGCCGTGAAAGTCTCGTTATGACATGTACAGAATTACCAGAAGATCCGTTTGAGTCTGCGCCTTTCAGTTTGCCAAGTAAGTTTCATCTAGAGTATCGGATTGTCCTTTCGATATTTTTTACTTGGAAATTTTCTACACTTGCTTATGTGCATGCAGATATGTCGATGAACTTGCATGACTAATAGTTGAATTATTTTTTAACAGAAAAGAAGAACAAAATTGGATCGAAGACGGCGGCACTTGCTGGAGGTAATGCATAGATTGCTTCGTATACTGTCTTATTCCATTTTTTTTCCAATTCTTAGTTTTATCTCGTTTACGAGTCCGTGTATATGATATTTCCCAAGTAACCACCTAAGCATACGTATAATCGATGTTATTTTATCTTTTTAATTTTCCACCAAATAATCCGTAGTTAAGAAATTCTCAGGGCTGTATAATTTTCTACTGGTTAGTTTCTACTCGTTTTCGTTTCGCGTAGATTACGTTTATTCGAGCGTTGCCGAATGTGATATAAATATGTGATTCGTGAAACGATGTATCGATGCATCGAGAAAGAAAAGAGGAGAAAAAAAGAGGATGATCAGAAGTTAGAAAAATATTAAGAATATTGGTGTTCGTTAGACGTTGACGACGTGGCGTCGGGTTAAGTTAAGATAAATCGCGTCGTCGAGTTAGCGTTAGGTGAACCGACAGCACGGTATATGTACCGTGAGTCGCTCCCGTAATTGGCGCGACACGCGAATATTTCAAAAAAGGTTATTCAAAACCGAACATATACAGGCTAGTTTGGTTATTCTTCGCGTTCGCTCAAAGATCGATCATTAGGATCGATTATTACGGATAACGTTTACCTCGATGCCGTTGCGCACGATTATTTTCCTAGTTATTCGTTTATTCCATACATGGAATAAAAATGATTTAACGTACGAAAAAGGTGTAGGGTGTAGGGAGATACGCACGTACACGTTAACGCGCTCGAAGGCTGTTGATCGAAATAACGTTTAAGATATCGGATAACGTCCGATTAAGTTAGGTAAAAGATAATTTACAGTTCGAAAGTGAATAGCGAATTTTCAAGGACCTCATTCTCTTTCTTTTTTCCAAATTCCTTTAGTACATTTTTTTGTATAAGTTACCAAAGATGTAGATAGATACTTGTAGGCGGTTGCGCGCGTTTCATTTCACATAACTTGTACATATTTACGTTTACATGGACAAAGATGTAGCAGAACGAATAACGAACAATATCGTGGTTAATGAAACGTTTAAAATCGGATAGGCAACGGTGATTCGAGCGTTGAGAGAAAGAAATATTCAGCTGACAAATTATACCTCGTACGAAAAGAATTCTCCGGAGGTAAAGGTGAACGGTTGTACGTACGTTCGTAGATGACAAGAAACGAGAAGAAAAAGGAAAAACGAAACGATATAAAAAAAATTTGCTAGAGCGTGGTAATAGTAATACGTCGATACTAAGATATTCTTCCACGCGTTAGAAAAAGTTTTTCGATTAATGGTCGTTCGTAAATCGCGTGGACGTAGTACGCGTTACTGGTACACCGTTTAAAACCGGATCTTTTGTCGGTCCAAGTTCCACGAACGATATATCGTACGTAATGTCTTTATTCAGCCAGGTTGTTTCGAGAAACGATCTTAAATAAAAGTAGATTTTTCATCGGATAGGAAATCGAAACGATGCGTACGGTTCGTTGTTCGTTCGATCGAATACCAGAGACTCGAACCCGTTATCCCGCCTTTTTTTCTCGTATTTCGAAGGAAACGTTTTCTTTCTTCTTCGACGCGAACGTTGAAAGAAAGTCGACGAAGAAGGAAAACGTAACACGGCGTATCGTCGTCGCGTTGCCTGCGTCGATGCGCGCGAGTTGCGTACGATGCACTGTCCGGGTAATGTAACGAGTTGCGCTCCTATATAATAGAGATAAATTATAAATAAGGTATAATTTTATTCAACGCGTAAAAACGCATTTTCATCGTTGCGAATGGATATTTTATAAAAATCGAACGACGAACAAGAAATTCACAATGATGATGGTGACGGTGGTGGTGATGGTGACGGTAGTGGTGATGGTGGTGGTGATGACGATGATGATGGTGGTGTTGGTGATGGCGGTGATGGCGACGACGGCGACAGCGACGACGGAGGGGGTGGGGTTCCAGATTAGTAGTGTCGAAGAGCGACTCAAGATAGAATCAATGATCTATCGATTAATATGTATCTACCGTTTGTACGACGTCGAACATCGTCGAGCGATTCATGGATTAAGCGGAAACGAAGTTCCCTCCCCCTCGATGTTCGTCGCATTGAAGCGTTAACGCGCGAAGGCGCGAAAGGCGAAAGAGGAAACTCGTCGATCGTTTCCGTGACAAAATACGTTTTCGAATATCGTATGTCAACGGATCGAAGCTACGATCAGATTACATAGTTTCGTAAATAAAATCGCGTTTTCGACGCGTGCAGACGCTGGACTGGTCGCTGGACGAACGTTGGACACACGCACGCGCGCATGCACATACACACTTTTTATTTCGTTAATTTTTATCTGTTACGTTGCTCTTTACGTGCACTGTTAAATTTTCACTGTCCTACGTACACTGTTCTCGTCTAGACTTTTAATTCTCTTTCATTCCTTTCATTTCATGTGTCTCCGTGTAGTCGACGAATCGCCATAATATGTCCCGCTTCTTGTTTAGATAAGAAAATTCGTCCCGATGGATCTTTCGAACGCGATTTACGAGTTCCGATCACGAACGATTCGCTCTCGCACGAGGCGGGAGTGCGAATAAAACGATCTCGTTTTATCGCGTTGGCTTCGTAATTCACGTTTGCATTTTCATCGGCAACGAAACGCTCGTAAATCATCGACGAGGAACTAGTAAGACGTAAAACGCAAACAACGATAATAACGAGGAAGTAAACTCGCGTACGCAAAAGGTATTTCGTTATCGCACGATCGACGATCGAACAGGACAACGAACGTTTACTTCGATTCGGTGTTTTTCTCTGCCGATCATCGCTGTTTCTCTAAACTTGCGTGCTTATTCGTTTTTACCGTCTGGAACACCCTAATGAGTTTGGGAAGCGCGAGCGATTAGTTTTCCTTTATTTCGTAAGCGCTGTTCGTTCGTTCGAACCTACGTGACGCGAGAAAACGAGTTTTCACGATCGCCTCGCATCGTTCGCCTCCCATCGTGTCTCCGTTTCGTGCAAGATTCGATCCTCGTACAACTTACGACGATACGATACGATACGCAAGAGTTGGTACGATCCGCGATCGTCGAGTGTTAGGGTAGCAACCCTTTCGCAGCCGTAAATTTAAACGGAAACGCGGTAAGCCGTGGTACGACGCGTTCAGATCGGGGACACCGAACGGTCGTGCGAATCGAAAGAGTATCGTAGGAGGCTGACAATCTTGGACGTATTCGCTGTATTAAAATAATAATGTTACGGCAATAAACGTGTATATTACTTTATGGTATATATGGGATATTGTTTTTTTTTATTCTATCGAATTCATCGAAAACGCAGCAATTCTTTGTTTCTTAAGGAGTTCCGCGATTTTTTTTTTCCTTTCTTCTGTTCCTTTCGCAGGCATACGCGCGCACGCAAAGAATGGTCATCGCGTGCTAGTCACGCGCTGCTTCGATACAAAGATCATTACTGCGTTTTTTCGCTTATTACCCTTTGCTCCCTAAATCTGATTAGGACTGTTCCAGACCATGTACGGTGACGGTGCGTAACGGTGGTGGCGCTAACTAACGTCGTTGCGAACAACGAAAAGTGGTGAAACACGGGTGGGAAAAGCGCGAGGGAGGGGTGGAAGGAAAGCAAGAAAAAAAAGAGACCGGCGAAAGGAAACGATATCATTTCCTGGAAAAATCGTAGAGGGTGATAAGGAGGCAATCGATCGTAACAGACCTAATCAGGTTCCTTCATCTCCCGATTTCTTTTCTGCGAAGAAATCGCTTCGAATTAATAACCGATCTGCTTTTAACTGCCTTGGGATGATCGTTGTTACAAAGTTCCTGGCCCAACGAGAAATTACAAGTATCGATAAAGTAACGTTTTACAAATCGTCGCGCCTGAATCGAGAATAGTTTAGCAAGCAGTTAAATAACAAGTTCCGGCGAGTACCGCGCGTTGGGTAAGTACGAGACGCTTTCGAAAAGCGTCTGCGATTAGGAGACGATCGATCGACTCTTTTAGCCTCCTTTTAAACGAGTTTCGTTTCCGAATACATGAGGGTCAAAGCGACGTGAACTCTCGTTTCTCAAAACGTTTCGATGGATCGATCGAACGTCCGTTCCGTTCTGTTCGTAAGTACCGGCTCTTTGTATATCGGAGTACCAGTAAATCCGTCGTTTCAAACCGCACAGGCGCGATCCTATCTGCGAGTCGATATTTCCAGTCATTTTTACTGTGGATCGGTATGTACACTCAAGTGGCAAGCTTTCTTTAGATAAAGATATCTATATTAATTGACAAATTTTTAACTGATAAATTATCGTATTTCTAGATTCGTAAATTTTCGAATTATCAAACTTTGTTAGACCCCGATGTCCTCAAACATTATTAGCTTAAACCTCGAGGCCTCCAAATTAAAAGTACAGCAAGCGGCAGGTACACTCGTATTTTCCATTGTCAGATTTGCTCTTGACTGTACATACGGCTTACGTCCGGTCGCGTATCGAGATCAGGGTCGAAAGGTGAAGCGGTATCGCCGCGCGTCGAACGCGTCGCTCCGCGAGATAGCGACGGGTCATCGCGTCGTCGCGCCGTCATCGAGCGCTTGATATCGTAAAGCGCGTAACGTAAAAGCTGTTATCTCGCTAACAATGGTATTACATTTTTTCAGGCAAGCCCGTAAACGGTAGATCGAGAGTAGCTTCAAAGCAATGGAATTCGAGCATCGAACGCGTCGAAGCGGACGTCGTAGAAAGCCCGTTGACGGGGAACGCTTCCGTTTCTCCGCGGTTCGTTCGAGCTCCCATCGAGGATAGATCCAAGTACGAGAAATTGTCGTTCGACGTTGGCGAGGTCGACTCGAGCGACAGCGACAGCGACGAGGACGCGTCGGAAAAACGAATCAAACAAAAGAGGAGGAGGACGAAGAACGCGTTGCGTAGAAAGAAGAAGACGCAAGATGCGAGAAACGCTTCGATCGAGGACGACGAATCGAACGACTCTATAGGTTCCGCAAGTGATTTGAGAACGTTCAACGACAGCGAGTGCGACGATGACGACGATGCACGGGACAATATCGTTCGAGCGAACGGCATCGACGATAACGAGGACGAGGAAGAAGACGGCGACAACGATGACGATGACGACGATGACGACGACGCGACGCGTGAACGCTCGATAAGCGGGCGAGAAATCTGCGACGGAAGTCCGATTCGTCGCGTGGATTGCGATTTCGTCGGTTCACGAGAACACGATAGAGCGAAAAGGTCAAAGAACCGTTATCGATCTCAGAAATCAACGACGCAGACGGACACGGATCCCGTGGTTGGACACGGCTACGGAGAGAAACCTCTCTTGCTGGACGACGAGTTAGATCCGGAATCGAAAATCGAACGATCGGCTGTTGATCCGTTTGTTGGTTGTCGGTATGATTCTAGGTTCGCCTTACCGAACGACAACTGCCTCTCGAACAACAACGGCGCCGGAGATTGCAGGATGAAGTATGGCAAACCCGCCTCCTGGAAACTCGAAGAGGACGTGTTTGCTCTGGCTCCGTTTCCGAGGTCCGGTCAATCGAGGAAACCTATCGGACAGCGCTCGAATTCGAAGAGTACCTCGCGCTCGTCGCTTGTTTCTGCCTGCGGTTCCACGATCCCCGTTGCGCCTTTACGCGTCGACACTGAGTCGTCCTCGTCTAAACGTAATTTTTCTCCGAGATCCGTGAGAAGCGGAAACATCGCTATCGAGCAATCCCGCGAGAACGATTATTCGACCGGAGAGACTGAACCCATTCCGAACGTCTATCGAGTCGTTGGTCCGCAAAAGATTGCGACCGTGGAGCAAGGTATATCGGAGAAAAAAGAGAAAGTAGAGAAATTAGAGATAGAAGAAGAAAAGCGAGTAGAGAAAGAAGGAGAAAAAAAAGAAGGAAAGGAGAAAGAAAAAGTAGACAAAGGGAACGAGAATAGAGAGAAAGATTTATTTGGTTCTTCTCCGTTCGGTCTAAACGCTTTTGTAAATCCTTTCAATATGGTTTCGAATCGATGGCCAGCGACAACGACAACGACCGCGGACACGACGACGGCGACAACGACCACACCAACGACAACGACAGAATTGAGAAGTCGAGAAGCATCGCGCGACGAGGACCCCTCCGAAGCTTCCGCCGATTCGTCGGTACGTCTGCGATGTACCGAGCCGCGCAGATCAAAGGAAAACGACTGGCCAATCGGTGGAACGACGTCGAACTCGATGTTTCTCGGTGTGGCTGTAAATCGTGGTCGAGCGTCCGGTACGGAAACCGCGGAGCGAATGGAAAGCGCGCAAAGTTCGAAGGATCTGTTCGGTTCCGTTCCTTTCGACGAATTCGCGTCTTTCCGACCGAACGAGCAAAAGAGACCGACTTCCGTGCCGTTTTACTCCCGATCCTCGCCAGATTTCCTCGAGGACGGTGTCCGCGCGACCTCCTCGAACACTGCACGTTCCCCGAACGCGTTCATCGTCGGATCGGCATCCGAGGCCGGTTCAATGAGGCGAGCGGCGTATTCGATGCAACCGATTCGACGTGCCACTCGAACAGCTGTTGAACCGATCAACAATGTGTCGAGGACGGACGTCGTGTCGGACGTCGTTTCGCCGGCGTTGGCAGCGTCGCCCGCCTCGCCGGAACCTCTGGTCGCGGACGACGCTCCGAGGTTCAAGAAGGACAAATTCAAATCGGACAAATCGAACAAGTCGAACAAATCGAAGTATCGTTTGATCGACGAGTGCTCGTCCGGTGGCGACATCGGCCTCGACGCTGCCGTACTCGCCTCGAAGCTGTCTCACAAACATAAGTCCGCCTGTTACAAACGAACACCGAGAACGAAAAAGTGTTCGGTGGTCACCGCGGCGGGGTTTAGCAATATGAGTTTCGAAGATTTTCCAAGCGACGAGAACGAGGAGAAACGGCTCGGAAATACCGGGGTCGCGCCGTTCGAAGTGATCAGGGAGTCGGAAAAACGATTCGGGTCGTTGAAAAGAAGGAGCAATCCGTTCACTTGAGAATAATGCGCGCTAAAACGAACGACGAAATATTCGCGATCGCGCGATTATCCTTTGCTTGCCTTTCTCTCTGTTTTTCCTCACGCCCTACGCCTACGCCACTGCACCTTATGCTTTTACCTTTCTTCTCCTTTCAGTGCTCTTTCTTTCTCTGACGTTACCTTTCGATCCAAGTAACGGTACGCTCGATCCACCTTTCTTGCTATTTTCAAGAATCGAAAGGGTATTGCAAAAATTTTCTATTTTCGTTTTTTTATTTAAGTATTTCTTTGAAACGCTGGTTTCAATTGTTACGCATTTTTATAAAGGCTGCGATCGCTGTTTGTCCAGCAAGTAGGCGTTTAATGTACTTGCGTGTACAACGTTTTAGAATACCGATCCAAGCTGGCGAAATTTCCGATACGCGAGAAAATAAGAAAAAGAAGCGAAGGAGAATTAAACAAAAGCGAAGTGTGGGCGTTCGCGAAAAAACTCGCGCATCTATTTTTGCAGCTATAGACGTTTCGCCGTTTATACTTTAAAGTTTGTAGATTTCTACCATATGTCGCTATGATTCGTCGGTTCTTGTATGCGGAACAATTTTTTCTAAGAGAAAATAACGCATTAGCTATAGACTTACAGTTCTCCGAATTTGGCGGAGCAACGCAGAGTAAATGAACTGTCGCGTTTCAACTCATTGATCGATCCGTCGTTAATAATTTTGTTTAATAACGAAGCCGTTGCTGGTAAGCTCGATCGAATTCTGAAATGGATCGACGCGTGACATCGTGTTGTGTCGTAAAAAGTATACGACTACTCGCTCGAAACGGATCTTTCGACGATCCGTGCTTCTTTTCTCGTTTTAGTTTTTAAGCTTGTTACCGGCACCGTATCCGCTCTTGTACAGGGGAAGAGCAGGAAAATAGGAAAAACGATTGCGACAATATTATATAAATATCTATGCGATTAATATATTTGCATATATCTAAATATTATATATAAATATTCTGATACGCGTACAAATTCAGGTACTTGGTGTACGGGCGCGTATACCGAGGTGTAGGGATGCGCGTTTACGTTAACGAAAAACGTAGATGTTAGTCGATAAGCATTTAGGTGCCTTGTTTTCGTTGAGCTGAGTATATTTCGAGCTCGCACTCTTTTTTATCTTTTAACGCGCGAACAACGGTATTACGAGAGAAACGGTCAACGATTTTCTTCGATTTGGTTCCTATGCGTAGCTGGAAAAGTTGAAAGTTTCGATCGCGTGAACCGTATCGAGCGAGGCGAACGGAAACACAAAGGTCGAATAAAAAACAGAGTAAAAAGAGAATACGACGGGAAAGAAGAAATCGTCTTTATGCGTAGTCATCGGACAGTTGTTAGTTACGACGATAAGTGTTTGAAGGGGCGATCGAACGTAACGCAATCTTCTTGCGACGATCTACGTATAAAAAATGGTTTAACGATTACAAATATATTCTGACAAAATGTTTGCAGTATTTTTAGGATAAAAAACAGGTGCTGTTTCGGCAAACTTTATTCGTGTATCGCTAAGAAGATAACGTTTTATCGTTTCAGGAAAAAATGCGTTAAGCGCTGTTTGTCACGGTTAGGTGCACATTCCGGTACACATTCCGTACCGATTACTTATTTTATACATATATGTCGTTATACTCGTTATTATTATCTTCATCATCATCGTCATCGTTTCCGTTTACACATTAGTTTCGAATCTTACTTAAACGTTGTTACTGCCTCGACACCAGATATTGCATTACTTTTGTCAACCGGTGTTAGGTACATACAGTTGGTATTCGTTGTTGTTCGGAAGCTCGGAAAGACTCGTCCATTTAGAATATTAGCGCGGGAAACTAAAGCGTTTGAAATTGTCTGGAATAACGGTCATGGATGTTTCGTAGTCGGAAAAAGCACGTTTCCGTTTCGTTCCGAGACCGAGAGGAACGCGTCGATCGGTATGTCGCGTCGCTTTGAATTTCTTCGACGCGCACGATAATTACTTTTCGAACGAGAAGAACGCATCGGCGAACCACATCAATTCCGTCGATTATCAATCAAGGTGTCGGATGTTACGAGAACCAATTCGTCGTACGGAACGTTTGATCGTACGATTCGAGATTCATTGATTTAATAAATAGAATTTCGTGTAAAAAGAGAAACAGAAATTGTCTCGAATGTTGTACTGACGTTCCACTCTCTGCAGACCCTCCATTTCCTCTTCCTTTTAATCGACGACGAAGCTCGCGACGCTAACGTGCCTTTCCGCGTGTGCATACATAAATTCAAAACGCATAAAAGGTTCGCGCGCATACGTGCCCGTAATGCCTAAAATATTTTGTTCGTTTAGCGACCTAGAGATCTCTTTGCAGAGATTTACTTTTAACAGCAGCGAAGCTTTTTACGTGTCATAACGATATTGATTAACAGTACGAGCATCCAGGCGACAAAGTTGAACCACGCGGAAACGATCGCAAATCGAAGACCCAAACCGGTGTCAGCTTCCTTCCTATTTTCCCAGTTACCGTTCGGATCATACTGTAAATAATCCATAAAGTCGAAAATTGCTCCGCACGAGAGTCTCTGGTGTATCACCTGTAGAGAAAGATAAGGAAAAGAGAATGCGTTTGCGGTCGATAAATCGTACGTTGGTTAACGGAGGTATAGCCTACCTCGGCTTCGCGACCTCTCGAATCTAAAACTTGTATCAGCCTTCTCCTGTAATGCCCGCAAGTTTTGTAGTAACCGTCGGTCGTTACGACCGCGTGTGCCAACGATAAACAGCAGAGTAAAACCGCGAGAAACACGCTGGGTATCCATTGCTTGTACGGACTTCTCCTTTTCGACCTGACCACTACCGTCGGCGTCGCTTCTCCGTCGATGTTCGAGTTTCTGTACAAAAACACTCGTCATGTGGCGTCTTAACGCTACTCCGAAAGTAACGCGAACGTTCAGACAATGTTACGGTTCTTATTCTACCTGTATCCACTTTTCTAACTTAATCTTCCACCGTGTTATGACGTGGATACGCGGACACGTACGGAGCGGTAGATATAAATTCGCGCGAACGTATCCGTACCTGGCAACTTGGTCGTACATTCGTACTGGCTCCTCTAAATTTCTACCGACGCAGCTTCGATGTCCGTGATATGCGCCGAGGCATATACCGATCAAAAGCGTCGGAATCAAGCCGTATACTCCGAAGTGGCAAAGCTTCGCATCTCCTCCCATGAACGTTCGAAAGGTATTAATACCGTACAATATACAACCGCAATCGATGCTGATGCATACGTTCAAGATCTGTGCCCAGTACTGCCAAACCGCCGCCAAACAGACCAACGAGACACAGGAAAAGATCGCGGAAGATACGTATAGTATGCTGAGTACGCATTCCGCTCGTCTTTCGTTCATCGCGTTTTTGTTCCAATTTTTGACCAGACGATTGGACCTGAGAACGAATACCAATTACTACCGATAGCGTTACCTGCTTCTTCGTTTATCCTTCGATCCTACTTGATCGTCAAAATACTTGTTTTAGTTTATTTCAATCGAACGAAACATCTGAAACCTATCGTCGGAAGATACGATACGCGTGGAACATCGGGTTTATAAAAGGATCGATCGTTCGCGCGTCAAACCGTTCGCCGTCCACATAAACATTCCTCGTAACTATAGTCTTCTCGACGTAGTTACTATTTTTGTCCTTTTTTTATTTCCCCGCGAATTCTTACGTTTTTATTACGGTATAATTAATTTATCGGTTACTCGCGTTACTAGTGGTCAACTTTATGTGAACTGAACAAACAATTCTTTCACGCTGCGTCAATTGAATTAAGACGTGTGGAAACGTACGACCGATCGATCGTTGATCAATCACGAAAATACTTTTCAATTCTTTTTCTTGTTTGTTTCAAAAAGTTCGAACGGAACTAACGGTACGAGATAGATCGTAGTCCATGAATAAATTCACTCGCTCGTAATTGAAGCCACGCGTTTTATAGTCGTATCCAAAAAAATCTAAGGATATAAAGAATATCCCTTACCAGCTCGATAATATTTTAAGACGTATGGATTCACGAAGAACAGGTTCTTTGAACGGTAACTCGTTTCCGAAACTCCTATACGTATTTTTCCTTCGAAATATTACTTTCCCACTGACTCCAGAAACCTTGGCACGTAAGAACGTTTACGCGTCTCTGTGAACACTGCGTGTTTCTTGTTCAAATAAGCCGTAGATTTTTGTCGATGCTCGTCGATGAAATATCTACGAACGCCAAAAATCTTACACACAGCAAAAAAGAAATGTTTACTCGGTGCGTATTCATCTTGTTATTTTTTCTATTAAATATTTATATTTTACAAACACATACGCATGATACATACGTATGTGTGTATATATATTTTTTGAACCTACACTGCAGTAACTACGACGGCAACCACTTTGAACTTTCTTTGTCAATTACGCAGAGTATTTTATTGTCCACACCCCTTTCTTTGTGTCTTCTTCTTCCTCTTTTTCACCGCGATATTACTAACCGAAACCAGCACGATCAACGCGAAAATCAAGAATAATCAACGGCGAAGAGATAAACTTTGATAAGATTATCGACCGTTACCGAGGAGATAATAATCCAGGTATTACGAACTGTACATCCCGCTTATGTCGTTCTTGACATGAATAAAACTAAAATTAGACTTCTCTAGAATCCAAGATAACATAATCGCTTTTCCAACTTTTGTTACTGATGTGTTATGATTGTTTTTATTTATATCGCGAACTGACTCTTATTTCGATAAATCCTTTATTCTAAACAATTTTCTAACTAGGTATTTTGTATAACAAAAACATGTCGGGTTCGTTGTAAATTGCTACCTTGAAATTTCCTATAGATTTCATTTTCATCTGTAAATAAGCCAAGAAAATCATATAAAGAAGACGCTCATAACATTACTCCAGAGCTGGATAAAAACATAAGAAATAGAAAATAGAGCCTGTCGAATATTTAATTGTATTCACGTACGTATAGATGTCACTCTTCTTTCGTACCGCGCAATGTTTATCATTGCGTACAGCTACCGATATGTATTACATGTAACATTGTTGAAACTTACGTTGGCGAATTATGAAATATACTCAAACACCATCAAACGGACAAAAGATATAAATAATATATTTTATTTTGTAGCTTATAAATATAGGTGACAATAAAACATTTTTATTTTCTTCGTCAAACTATTTACATTATTTATCTGTTATAATTTTCTTTAAAATTCAAAACACTATACCGATGCGTGTCCAAACAATTTTACCCAGCTCTGATTACTATTGCCAATTAGTAATATTAAATTAAGAGAAATTAGTAATAAATATAAGTAAATGTGTTTTACACGTCGTAGTATGTTACGGTTCGGAAATGTTTTGCAGCGTTTAATGGTTAATCGTTAGATGAACGATAACGATTAAAATAGAAATATACACCGATATTTCGAATAATTCATCACAATGTTAATGTACATACATATTCCTATGCTGCATTAACGTTACGACGTTTCATTTCAAGTAAGGCATCACGATTATTCCATAAACAGTATAGTGATGCTATTCCTAGTCCTACGCAACCACCTAATGCGCACTTTCTTAGACCAGCTAAAAACATTAAATGATTACCTTTTCTATTGTTCTAAAATATCTACATATATACTTGTATTAGTTAAAACGTACTTGTGGATTTAAACAATATGCCTGTTCCTGTTGCTGCTATTAGAGTATTCACAGAGTCATCTGTTCCTCTGGCCCAAGATAAAAGTACACCAAACCCACTATACATTACGGATACTATCCCAAATGTATTTGCTAACGCAGAACCGCTTTTCATAACATGATTAATTAATCTGCCAAAGAAAAATCATTTACTTTCATGCTGATCTGCTCTATTGGTATAACTTCTCTTATTTACCTTAAAAATAAATCAAACTACGTACTGAGTCCTTCTGAGTTTGCCAGTTTGACCAGCTAAAGCTGTCGCTTTCATGCCTCTGTATAAACCAGTTGCACCACCAATACCAGCTCCTATTATGCATGCTGCACCAATCTGACTAAAAGCTAACTCAAAGCGACCTCTTTGTTTCGCTGCACCTTCTGGAAATATGTATTCTGGCTGGCTTGGAGGAAGGTGCGCAGGATCAAAATTTAAGTAAGGACTAAGTGGTGCCAATCCTTGTTGGGATGTAACTGAAAAAGTGATATATAATACTACCTAGTCAGTTTTGATAATATTTTAAAACATTTATTTATACTATCGCTACTTTTGCATAATCGCTATAGTTATACATGCATTAAATAAATTTAAAGATGTTTCGCAATCGATATAAACAAAGTATTGCGATCATTTGTATTCATATTATCGTTAAAGGAAAATACGTCATCACAGTATTACTGCACAAATTAACAGTTTTTTGACTAGAAGCTTGCATCGTTGCAGAATTATGTTATTTAAAAAAAATATCTTCGTGCTACAGTGTTAACCCATGCTCATTTGAAATAAGGTTATGTTTGAGTAACAAATTCATCAAGTACATAACTAATTACGCTACAGTTAATCTTTAACGCCCAATGTTGGAGAGATACCGCAATTTTCGAACAATGACGACATCGTGATACGACAATCATTCTATTTTTTGTTAAGTTATAACTACGTTTAATTCAAGTATATTACAAATCGCTCTATTAAAACTTACCTGGTATATTTAAATTACCATACTTTGAGGTGTTGTTCGTTGCGTTATCGTTTCGGAAGTCTATCATTTTTAATATATAACTGGTAAAATTTTAATTTGTTTAATTATGTCCTAGTGCACGCTCGTGAGCAAACCGATACCGGGTTTGCACGTTTCCACAAATCGATCTAGGTCTTTGACTCTGAGTACTCTGAACATGTCGAGAATAGCTGAGATTAATTCTTCTGTTCATTTTTTCTATACATTGGAAATTAGTTAAAACTTACACTATGTAAATTTGTACCGTTGCTCAGAAATACTCTAACACTGCAGAATCAACTAATAATACTCCGAGGTTTTGAAATAACTTTGTATATATATGTGATTATTAGAAATATATCTCAGAAATTTATTCTTCCATATTATCGATAATCGATTTCATATATCGTTGAGTATCTCGTACACGATCAGTCCGCGCATCATAACTGAGTTTGATTCTACATACTACGTAACTTATGACAAAGCGCGTGCGCTTTTAAAAGGATCGTGATGTCCGTACTATATACCTAGCGAATTACTTTTATCATATCCATTTTTATAATACCATCGGCTTCAGTTATTCTTTTATTTTATCCCACCATGTATATGACCACGAAGATAAAAATAGTCTGTACAGGGTTATCACACTTGTAGTTAAAAATCTCCCCAGACTGTAAACTGCGCAAATTGAGGTTATTTGTCACAAGAGGGTGAACTTCTTTCATGTATCGATTCAGAAGGCTCTTTACTACCAGTGTAATGTTTATCTATCGACCGCTTCTAGTTTCGTGGTTATATACACGGTGAACATAAATAATATGAATGGATATGAACAACGGAAAGAACCAAGCGATAACGTGACGAGGAATGCAGGAGGGTATACTAAATTTTAAACGTACACTTAACTTTGTAAGATCGAGATTCATTTATTCAGTTTAGCAAATAGGATATCTATATGGTTATACGTACTTATCTCTACGCGGTACAGTCTCTTCATAATATACATGCATGTAGACGTACGCATGTTTGATATTTGATAATTGATGACTGGTTAAATAAAAGTTACAGTAGGCAGTTCTATCAGTCACAGTCATTTTTATTATATCTATCATTTGTTACCTAAAACATTACATCAAAGAGATAGGTATCGATCTTTCTTGTTTTTGAAACTTTGGTATCGCCGATGTTACCAGCCAGCGTAGTGCAGCGAAGCAAACACAAAGAGCAGCGGAGGGGAAATGCATTTAGAACAAAGGCGACCTCTATCGTGGTAACGGCTACGTATCGAACTATGTAGTGCATTGCCGTTGAAAATGGCGTCAGGCTCGGAGCTGCCAGAATATTCGTCGCCAGAAAAACGACGAAAAGTCGATGGCATCGGTTACGTCGGTGCCAGCAGTGCAAAACCTGATTTCCAAGGTTACGAGACATCGCATACTACTCCAAATGAAGATATAGAAGGTATTTTGAGAAAAATATGGTCAATTAATTACTGAAATTTGCAAGATTACAAGATGGCGGTTAAAAAGGCGTCCACTCGTCTTGCGTGACCATCATTTGTTCGTAGTCGATAGAAGATCAAAGCCGCCATGACAGTTCCTATGCCTGTCGCAAACGTCGCATCGCAAATCATTTTTCATTTTATCGAATATATCGTTGCAATGTTATTGGATTTTTATTGATTTTATGCAATAAAGTTATTCCTTAATTCATGTATTTTAAATTCCTTTTTCTATTTTTTTCATTTTTTATTTAGTTTTGTGTTTTTATCGTAAGAATAATTATCGAAATGAACAATGGTACATAGTGAAACTAGAAAAACTAGTATCGATATATGGTACGTTCGATAAAAGTTCACAGATGGCACGATTTTCATTTTGCGCAAACGGTACAGGTTTAATTCTGTTCTTCGTCGGTATCCCGCCATTTTTCAAAGTTCTAAAATCAATTGGTTTTAAATGATTTCATCGAAATATAATTGTTCATAAAATTCTGTTTAATAAATATTAATTTAGCGTTAATATTTAGTAGCGTTAAATATTATTTGCGCGGCTAACAAGTAAAGTAAATATTAAATGTTATTGCAGAAACATACGGAGGAGATAGTGGATTCAACGAATTAAGCGATGAATCTAAATCGATTTCTATTTCTCCAGATGTTACAAACTTGATAACTCCATCCCAAATTGATTCGACTAGCGATGATACGGGTTGTCAGTAAGTTTCATATTTTCGTTAATATTACTTACGCTCGTCAATGCATATATTATATTTCTTGGTATATTTAAAACAAATTTATTTATTTCAGAATCGACACGGCGGACGAAAAGGATGAAGTATCGTCGACAGTTTCAAATTTATCTGAATTGTCGGGCTTGTCTGATTTTTCCGGTGAAGGAGACATCGCTCATCAATGGAAAAATGCATCTTCGTGGGTTCAAAAGCAAATGTTAACCGGTGCTGATCCCCGAGATCTTTTACATCATCTTCTGATGGATTCTACTCAAATTCCAGAGCAGGTCGATGACCTGACTCTCTGGAAGGTATTATATTAGCAAACGTCGTCAATTTTGGTTTTTTATTAATATTTGAATAATCATTTTGATTATTTTATATTTTTTCTTAACTTCTATTTTCTACTTTCTTTTTCTTTTTCCAGATTATAATAAACGTAATGTCCGAACCACCGCGCAGACAAAAGTTAAGACACGTAAATACTTTAGCGGACGTGGTTAGGCTAATATGTCACAGTAACAAAATCATTGTCTTAACTGGAGCAGGTGTAAGTGTTAGTTGCGGTATTCCTGATTTTAGAAGCAGAGATGGTATTTATTCCAGATTAGCGCAAGATTTTCCAGATTTGCCAGATCCACAGGTAAATGATCAAAAATTTCCCAACTGGTCCTCCTTATTTTAAAATGTCTTTTTATAACCCGAGCCATTTCTCTTTCTTTTGCAGGCTATGTTCGATATTAACTACTTCGGACAAGATCCGAGACCATTTTATAAATTCGCACGAGAAATTTATCCTGGACAATTTAAACCTAGTCCTTGTCACAGGTTTATAAAAATGCTTGATAAGCAAAAGAAACTTTTACGAAATTACTCTCAAAATATTGATACACTGGAGCAAGTAGCTGGAATTGAAAATGTGATTGAATGTCATGGTGAGCATCGTTTATGCGTACAAACTTGCAAATGACTTTTATGTTTAATTAATGTATGTATTTTTTTAATGTGTTTAGGCTCCTTCGCGACTGCGTCGTGTACCAGATGTAAATATCAAGTAAGAGCGGACGACATTAGGGAAGATATTTTTGCTCAGAGAATACCTTTCTGTCCCAAATGCAAAGTTAACGTTTTGCCCCCAATATCAGAGATTAATTGTAATGAAAGTTATAAAGGTAATTATAAATATAATATGATTGGTAGGAAGGTGGTAGGAAAAGATCGATTTTCATTAAAAATGTTTGTAATTTGCAGATTTAGTAACACAAGGCATAATGAAACCAGACATTGTTTTCTTTGGCGAAGGACTTCCTGATGCTTTTCACGATGCGATGGCCAAAGACAAAGACGATTGTGATCTTTTGATTGTAATAGGATCATCGCTGAAGGTTCGCCCAGTAGCGTTAATTCCTTCCTCTATTCCATCTCACGTTCCACAAATTCTGATCAATCGTGAATCATTGCCACATCTAAAGTTCGACGTCGAATTGTTAGGAGACGGTGACGTTATTATAAATCAGTTGTGTCACTTGTAAGTAATAGTTGTTTCACATTTATCTGCATCTTCGCGATCGTGTATTTATGTTGATCTCCAATTTTGTAGAATGGAGGATTGTTACAAGGAAGTTTGTTGGAATGATACAGTTCTTAAGGAAGCAACACAACTTTTACCGGCATCTTACTTATCAGACGATGCTTGGGAACAAAGTCAAGACACAACGTCAAATACCGTATTGTCACGAGACAGTATGGAGACAGATTTTAAACCACACGACTTACGCTCCATTGAAAGTAGTTATAATCATATGACACACGACAGCGTTGTACAGCGCGCAGAGAGCTCGCATGTTTCGCCATTTTATAATAGCCATGCAAATAATACGGAGGAGAAATTTAGTCCGTTAGCGGACAGTCCGAAAAGAAGATTAGGCGAATCAAGTGCGGAAAGTAGTCCAAAAAGAATGAATTTCGGTAGTAGTTCCGTATTAAATTTTAGCTCATCTTCGTCGGTGTCAGAAATTCCTAATAGTTCAATGGATTATAAACTTCGCGTCGTCTCGGTAGAATCCGTGTCGAGAGATAATGGGAAAATTTACAATTTAGAAGAATGTCAAGTATTTCCAAGAGTTATAGAAACTTGTTCGGAAAATATGGCGTTCGATTCTAAGTTAAAATCCGATAACTGTATAGAAGATAACGTGTCCTTGAGCACGAATGAAGACCGTATAGCAGTGAACACGATCGAAGTTGAAAAAATTAATTTTAAACCAAGACAGGCGTCAATCGATTCTGCTTTGGATTCTGGAATAGGTGACAGCTGTAACAGTGTTGATAGTCGCGATGGAAAAACTGACAAGGAAGACTTGAGTAATGGAAGATTAAGTCGGAATTATTGGCAACCTAAAGTTCAAAAGAGTCTTGCTGTAAGATTGCCAGGTATATTACTTTGAAATTTATTATTACATTCTTTTTTTTATTTTTCTATTTCATAGACGATAAAGGTAATATCATTTTATTTACAGAAAATTCGTACTATCAGTTAGCACCTGGAAAATATATATTTCCTGGAGCAGAGGTATATTTGGACCCTGAAGATTACGATCATTGTTCTTTTTCCATGAATTCAGAAAGTTCTGATAGTGACAGTGATTCTTCATCTATGGAGGAAGAAGAGGAAGAGGAAGAGGAGGACGAGGATAATGATGATGATGATGGCGTGGGGGAAGAAGAGGAAGAAGCGGACGATGATGACGACAGTGGTGGCGAAGGCGACGGTCAGGACGATGCTGATAACAGAGCGAAGATAAACGAGGAACGGAATGCGGTAAATGAAAGAGAAGCGAAGAAAGATATAGTGGAAAAACTAGAAGAGAAACAGGAAGAAATAGAAGAGAGGAAAAAAGAACGAAGAGGAACAAAGAATGAAAATAAAGTGCAAAAGGCGAGTAAGTTTCAAAAGCGGAAACGCTTTTTAGAAAAATTACAAAATCCGACATGATCGGTGAGTGAAAATCAATTCGGACCAGGGTGACAAATATCCAGTAAATATGTATAAACATCGAAGTAAATGGCAATTATAAAGGTGCAAAATCGAAAAGAACAAATCAGAGTAGTGAACATGATCAAGGATAAATAGCATTTAATGAGTGACAATCTGAATCTTGTTACTCTTGTTGAACTTGGACGTTCAATAGGAGGAAGGACAAATGGTCGAAAAAGAGTGCAATTTTCACTAATGTACATTACATGTGTGTTTGCGTACACGCAAAAAGGTATGGGCTCTGAAAAAACGAATTCAGTTATATCTTTATAAAATTTGTTAACGAAGCAGTAGAGAAAACGGTAAAGCGGTGATCAAATATTTTGATCTTTTCCCTTTTCTGACATAATATTAAAGAAAAATTCAAAACCAGAAAAATTAAAACAATCCATGACTACTTGTTCACAATAAGTAAAAGTCGATTCGATAGTGACTTGTAAATATTCAGAAGAAATAGATTAGGCTATCGTTGAGAGTATCGTGCAATCGTAGAAGAATAAAGGATCAAATGCGTTGCGTCGTATTCGAAGAAGAAAAGTAGTCGGTTAATTAATAGATCGCGTAACGGAAGGATAGGCAAAATTTCGCGCACTGCAGCGAAATAAAATTCCAAAGTCGTAAGAAATAAATTTCCTTCGATTAGAATCTTCGTATACGCGTACACGCTTAACGTTAATTTTTGTAAAACGTATTTATTATAATACCGAGTCGTCCTAAGAGAAAGTACACTGTAAATGATAAATATAAAACTTTTTTTAAATACGAAAAGATATATTTGGAGGTAGGATGTATATGTATATTCGGTTTAATGCAAACACTATTTTTACTTACCTCTGTCATTTTCATAATTTTCGTTAATATTACGTATCGCACCGTTACATCTACTGCTACGTAATTAGCTATATCATTAATAATTATTTATGTTTTGTAAATTATTATGTAAGTTAAAGTTCTAAAGAGTGTCCAATTGAAAATGTTGCGTTTTTTAAGTACAGCAGTTTTTAATATCGTGCAGAGAAGCGCGAAGAAAAAGTATTAACTCTGTCATAAGACTCGTTAAAAGTATGTTAAAGCGTTCGAGGCAAAATCGAACGAACGAATATTTGCATATATAATACGTATGTTGTATCGTATCGTATCGTATTCTATTGTATCGTATAGTATCGTATCGTATCATATAGCATCGTATCGTATAGCATAGTTTAGAACAGTATAGTATAGAATCGTATCGTATCGTACTGTATCGTATAATCGCATTTCGAAAATGTTAAAGGGTGCTCCGTATACCTTTTGTGCGCGTGCATGATCGAATGTGTGCAAGATTTGTGTGGGGTAACGTAACGACGACAAGGAAGACAAGGACAGTGTTAGATATAGTTTGAAGTTTTAGGAATAGCTTTCGATAGGAGAATGGAAAATTAGTCGCAATGATTTCGCACTAAATGTTTTTAGATTCGTTAGGTTTCAATTTATTTTCATTGGAGCACGGGCGAATGTACAAAGCAATGTTGGATAGCTTGGCATTGCGTGTTATTTTTATATGAACGAGAAAAGATAGAGTAGTAAACGTACAGGATTAAACGACGAAGAAAGAAAAATACGGTCGGTGTCTCGCGATGATCTTGGAGAAACGACTAGCAAAAGCGAATCGCCGTTATTGGGCGAGGAGATGATCCTCTCTCAAGGTTCATCATTGCAAATATTTCTAAAGAACGAAACGGTTGTGCGAAGATCTATTATAATTATTAGAAAGACGATCGATCACTAAACTCGATACATAAAGTATGAAACGCGTACGTTACATGTGCATAGCGTATAGACGCACGAACCACTCGTACGTACATATACGGATACGTATGTATATATATATATACATAAACATATATATATATATTCTCGCGAAGTAAATGAGATTATTAAACCACCAAAAATAACTCAAGATTCGTTGAATATACTTGTAACAGGTGGCATGAAGCTTTATTTTCTCTATTAGTAGGTTGCGTAAAAAAGTTGGAGAAGCAATTTGAAAGTTAAGCTCCGTTGAAATATCCCGAGGGATTAGACAGAAACGAATAGGAGAAACTCGTTTAAGGACTCAAACAAGTCAGAAAAGTACAGTCAGTTTTTATAACGTTTAAAAGATTTATCTTCCGCTATGTACAAATAGCTTTATTTATCATTGTTTCGCGAGAGGCACGAATCACGTACTAACGTTTAAAGCCTCTACTTTGTCTATTTATTTGAGATCTACATTACTAAATAAATAGATAGATAGATACGTTAAATAGGTAGATAGGTAGATAAGTAAGTAGGTAGGTAAATAGATAGATAGACAAACAGACGGACGGACCTGCGGACAGATAGACGTACGAGTAAGAAGGTAATAAGATGCGCGTATTATAGAGAAATCAGTGTCGTACGTTACACGCGTATACGCATACGCGTACTCGGAATATGTTGTGTAGAGTAGCAACGGTATGCGTATACGAGTGCGAATATACGCGTAAAACGTTGGTTTTAATCAGTGCTCTAAAGATTTTTCACGCTACATTTTCGAAACTTTACCTTTCTCTCTGCTAATCGACTACAGGCGTCAGCAAATTACGTTACGTTCCCGTCCGATAAATGGATATCTACGTGCGCGTACCGATCTATTCATTCTACTCGATCGATCATCGATTCCAGTACTCTATTTTACTTAAGCATTTACTTATTTAATCCAACTACTTAAAGAGGCAAGAGCGATTCAACCGTCGCTGTCGTATAACCTTCGATCGCTGTAGGCGTTACGCGTCACGCCGTCGCGGTCGATTCCAGAGGGAAACGTTAACTTGCAAAGTTTGACAATCATGCTACTCCTTTTTTTCCACGTACTGACTTTTTGTATAAACGTGTCACGTGTAAATATTTATTATTATTTTTATGATATAACGAGTCGTAGAGTCTCGATCGTTTCGGCTGAACGATGAAAAATTCAATCGAGTATTTCTATTCTTCGTTCTTCCGAGATTAACACATACATGTACGTATATATATTTGTATTATTTACGCGGTATCATCGTCTCAAACACGTTACGGTTTTCTCCAAAATTTTTCATCGTTTAGCCAGCACGAACAAACGAGATACTAAAACTCTAAAATTTTTTTTTATAATTTGTTATTTAATATAATGAATGTTATGAAAATGTTCTCTATTTCAGACGTTATAAGTTTTGTTTCCGTGGTATTATTAATGTATAAGCTTATCTTCTAAATTAAACATTTTTCTATGATACTCTGCCCATCCCTTTATTTTCTATCCCTTTCTCTTTTCGAAAAATTAATCAAACCACATTAACAAAGACGCTAACTTAAAGATAGAGTAATAAAGATATTGAAAAGATCGATTTTATTTGTTCTTTTCTTTATTCGGTCATTCGTTCGTTCATTCTTTCGATCATTCGCTTATTTACTTAATTTATTCTTGTTATATAATAGTTCCATATCGTATATCGCAAATGAAAATTGAAAATACTCTTTAAATTATAATATTTTAAAGAATAATCGAGAAACTCAGAATAATAGATTTAACGCGTCCGCGTGCACGCATGCGCACACTGAATCTTTTGTTTAATTTTAACAACGCGCACGCGTAGGGGATCGTTTAAAGCGCAATTTTGTCGCTGTCGTCGCTAACTACGCGTATCGAACACTTGTAAAAATCCCCGTCAAAAAACATTTCTTATCTATGCATAATATATTTGAATTTATCCGATCTTCATCTAGAATATTTAGCATATATCAACGTACTAATAGTTCCAGCCAAAGCAGCGGATGACGTTTTCTATAATTACGATTCCTGTAATATTGACATATAATAATTATAGTGACGATCATGATAACAAAGATAATGAGAACGTTGCCACTACCATAAAAATAACAGCATAGTACTGTTCTTAGGGGCACGCAATTACACTCAAGTATCCGGTGATCCATGAACATGAATGGCGTTCCACGATAAGATTGTATTCATTGATCCAAACAGGATTTGATACTCGATTCAATATTTATCGTGGTATACGGTGCTTATCAATTATTTTTCCCTTTTTTTTTTGCTTAGTTCCTTTCTTTTTCCCCTTCTCAACGCGAGACTACGCAAGAACGAAGAAAGAAGAATAATGTACGATCAAATAAAGACACAGCTCGAAATCCTTTATAAGCATAAATGCGTGATTGCAACTACCGTATTATTCTTCTCTTTGTTCTGTTTAATACCAGGATGAACGAACGACGCAAGGTAGTAAAATCGACGTGTCGCGGCAAGGGAGGAAAAGTTGAAAGGAACGATGGTATACACAGGACAGGAAAAGGAACAATGGGGGTTTTTCTTTTGTGGTAAGTTGGAAGCAATTTCCTGATTTTGTTCCTTTATACGTTTATAATTTCCTTTAATATTTGATCCCCAAACACAGAAATAACGCTCTTTGATACGACAATAATAATGTTATTATTGTTATTATTATCATTTAGTTAACATAATATGATGTATTTCATTCGGTTGTCCGCGTGGCAAATCTAAGCCCTTGTTTTCGCAACGCATACTTTCGACACGCGTATAGAGACAATTCAGAAACGAAGCTTTTTTTTTAATTCGGTACACGAAATTCAAAGGAATGGGAAAAAAGATGACGATAGCATTCTAATTTCAGATATACTATTAAGGGGTACGCGAAAGCCAAAGCAGACATAATTATGATTGGTACGCGTATCTGAATTTATCGCGACGATCGTTTAAGACTCGAATCCCGTATAAATTGGGCAAGTCGATCTGGCAAAAATGAAAATAAAAGGGGAAGAAGTCTCGAAAACTGCCGTCGACGTATCGCGTATCGCATATCGAATTGATCGAAAACGATCCTGGAGTATACAAGTAGCATGGCCGAAGATAGATCGAAGACGACGAGAGAACACAAACGATAAGAATCCTTTGTTCCGTTTCGCTGTTACCGCCACTGGCGTTCTTCCTTCTTTCTTCTTCCTCTTTTTCTTATTTTTCTTCTTTTACTGTTTCGTGTCGTATCCGGTGATTATTTGTATTGCATAATTATACTAGATAATAGTATTAAGTTGTAGTAAGGATTTATCGTCTTATCATCTAGCATGACAAATCGAATCTGTGTTTGTAATGGATATAATTAGGATAATAATGTAATTTAAGTGCCTAAAAACAATGCTTCGTCTTCCAGTTCCATCTATGTACTAATTCAAGTTCCAGGTTCTATTTCGTGTCATCCGAGGAAGAAAACGAAGTTGTCTTCGCAAAAATTTCTCTCTTTCTAATGAGCCCATTTATTCCATGCCTGCAATCAGATGGTTCACGAACCATATAAACATCAAACACCAAGAGCAAGACGCTTACATCAATTATCGCGATCAATCTACTGTTAGATAATTAATGTTAGGTAATTACACCTAAATTTCATAACCTTCCGTTCTTCTCATTTTTTTTTTGTAATGAATTGATCAACATAGTACATACCGGATGTTGCTTATCTTGCACGGCATCTGGTATTCCCCATGCTGGCGCATCCATTTTATTTGCTTCGTTAGGAGGAATTTCTGTTAGAGCAGGTGTTCCAAATTGACCAGGTAATAGAGTTAGCCCAGGCATTATCGACAGGGCTGCCGCGCTACCATTTGGAAACGGTTGTTGAGTATCCACATGACCCTGTATAAATAATGTAACCGTTCATCATCAGCGTCGATAAAAGAACAACGGTGAATTTCAGTGCATCAGAAAAGAATAGAAAGAACCATATGTGGTTGTTATTGTGAATACCATTGTTATGAAGATAAAGGGCAGCGGCAAGAAAAAAGATGTACCGAGCGTACCTGAAAGGAGGATTCCATCATTTGATGAAGTTCAGCATCAACGTTGGATATACGATTGTAAGCGGCATTGGATCGAAACATTTGATGCCTGTCTATTCCTGGAGCCAAACTTGCCCAAGAGCCAACAAGTTTTTCGTTATTCAACATCCAGTTGATGGAGTCGGCATCTCCACCGGGTCCCATTCCCGCCATCGTATAATTCTTCCATGCTCTTTCTGTACCAATTGGTCGTGGTACTTTACGATCCTCGATCTTCAATTGATTCATTTCTTGGGCAACCTGGGCCGGCGAAGAGGGCGATATAGCCGGTGAACCACCGTTTTCTAAACTGGTGATCAAATCGATGCTACCAGGTTGCGCGGTTATGTTTGCCAAATGATTCGACAAGCCGATTTGTCCGATCATTGGTTCTTGGTGAGGTGGATAATTATTGTGAGGCGGAGCGAACGGCCATCGAGTTTGTCCATTCGTCGAGATTCCTGTATTGGGAGTGGCACGGGATGCCGGTTGATACTTTCCTAGAGGAAAGTTTCCGAGCATCGCTAAATTATTAGACTGGATCGCGGATGGAGGAGGTGGCGGCACCGTGGCAAACATATTCGGATGTATTCCCGCTGCTGAACCCGCATTGAACATAGTTACTTGAGGTTTATTGTTCAAGTGTAAAGAACTAGAGAAATCGGGCGCCCTTGGATTTAATCTGGACATACTGACAGTGGTATTAACCGAAGCAGATGGTGCTGCGATTGTTTGCGTGAAGTTCTGCATGTGGGGATGGAAAGGCAGAAGTGGATGGCCCTGGGCCGCTTCGTTCGGTACCATCTTCAACAGGCTCGAGTTGACATTCGGATGTTCGTAACCGACATTATTTCCTTTGAACAAGCCTACGTCTAATGTGGCTTGAGACGTCGACGCAATCACATGCGCTTGATGCGTTGTAGCGTTGCGAGATGTTAAGTCGCCTTGAAACACTGGCCTGTTATATTGCGTTCCCATAGCCGCCGCAGCCGCTGCCGCTGCCGCAGCTGCTGCACTCATTTCCATGCTTTGTTGCGGAATCACCGGCCGTGCTACGGCCAAACTACCGGGAGGTTTATTCGACAGAGGATGTTCGCTGTAATTTCCGGATGACTGAAATTGCGGTGGTTGAATCGGATTGTGGCCGGCATTAGAAGACCCGCCGCTTCCCATGTTGGACGCGTTCGCATTAGCATTTGCATTCGCGTTTGCATTTGTATTCGCGTTCGGGTTCACGTTCGCGTTCGTCGCACTGTTGTTTGATTTACTCGAAACGGGAGAACACATCGTTGTTCCTCGATATCCAGGTGCTTTCGAAGCGTCCACCTACGTACAAACAAGTAATAAAAAACATGGCAATCATCTTATTGATTCGAATTTCGACGCGATAAAACAACAGTAAAGACAGATTTGATACTTGCCTGGGGAGGAACGCTGTCAATGAATTTGGACGAAGACGAGCCAGACGTATTCACGGATACGCCGCCACCGGCTACGGTCGCAAAGTTCATGCCCTTCTGAGACTCGTTTTCTCGACCACCCCACATTGACTGCTGGGTCACTTTTGTAAAGGTATCATTGAATAATGAATATTCCAGTGGTGTATTATTTGTTTGCTGCTGCTGCTGCTGTTGTTGTTGCTGCTGCTGCTGCTGTTGTTGTTGTTGCTGCTGTTGCTGCTGATGTTGGTGCTGTTGTTGTTGTTCTTGAATTGTTTGCGCGATAGGTGTTGAACTACGAACTTGCTGCTGCTGCTGCTGTTGCGGTTGCTGCTGTTGTTGCTGCTGATGTGATTGTTGTTGTTGTTGTTGGGACTGCTGCTGCTGTTGGTGATGCGGATGCTGTTGTTGCTGATGTTGATGCTGATGCTGTTGCTGCTGCTGCATCTGCTGACACTGCGGCACCACCGGTGGTGACGGGCTGACTCGAATAGTCGCGTTTGAACAAGTCGAGGCGGTGGAATTTTCTGGGCAATATGCAACCACGGTGTTCGTTGCTGACGACACGGCGGTATTAGATCCAGGAGAATAAGTAGACTTTCCAGAATAATGAGAAACCATAGTCGGCGGGGCAGACAAAGTAGGCAGTGGTCGGCAGTGTTTCGGCGATGTACTGACTATGGACTGTTGAGACGAAGTCTGAGCCATTGCCGCAGCCGTAGCTGACATGACAGTGACGGTATTTGCTTGTAACGATTTTTGCTTGTTTACCGTTGTATGAGTGGACTGCATCACGGTAGTAGATGTATGTGTCGAGGCAGTGATTTCGGATAATTTCGCAGCAAAAGTTTGCGTGGTGCTCGTCGTCACAATTTTCGTTGCTCGTCCTGCGGTCATGATTGCACTCGTATACGACATTGTTGTTTTTGTGTTCGACGACGAAGAAGCCATCTGAGCAGCTACGGCTTGAGCTCGTTTCTCAGCTGTACGCCCACACAATCATGAAAATATTATTCTCCAACGATCTTGTTCGATTAACAAAGTGATACTCCTGTTGCACGACCAATACGAGCGGTGCACAACCGGTGTATAAACGGTGCATGCATGCAATAAGCATGTGAGGATGATACTTTACCTGCGGCCACGAGTCTCGGTGCCGTTGCGCGTGGTAAAGGTGTTGGAAACGCTCCGGTAAGTTTAATGCTGGACGAAGATCGAAGCGGAATCAACTGATTCACGGTAGAAACTCCCGGTGTGTAATTAGATTTATTGATTTGCGTACTACTCGAATTGGACATTAGACTAGATGGTTTACTTACAGCACCCAACTTTGCTTTACTCGACTGAAACAAATAAATGTGAACGTTAGACAGATAATATTCTCCTCGTTACATTTGCATTGCTTGCAATTAAGCATATACTTACCGCTATGGTAGAAACGGTTTTATCCCAACAGGAAGTTGTAACGACCGTAAGTTTCGATTTTGGAAGCATCTGTAATATATCAACGTCTGGATCCTTAATAAGAGCAGCTATCAACGTGTGAGCTTGCTTCGTTGCGTCTGACGATCCTCTGAAAATATACCAATAATAGAACATTGCACGAATATTCTATCAGTCCCACTAACCAGTATTAGGCAGAACATGAAAACGGTACTTCAAAATTTTAAGGTACAAGCAATTACATACTTGATAGTGATGATTCGTTCACCCTGACACTTGCTTTGCTTTTCTACTTCAATATGGGCTCCTGTTGCGCCTCTAATTGCATTTATATTGCTCCCGCCTCTTCCAATAACTCGGCTAATAGCATTTGGTGGAACGGAAACTTTTTTCGAACGGAATGGTGAATTCATGAATCTTCCCGAATCGTCGGACTGTCCCCTATTTCATAAATTGTTGTTTTTTACCCTTTTATTTATTTCTATTTGTTCGTTCGTTTGTTTAATGTAAATATGTAGGAAAAAATTCAAAATTAAAAAATATAAAATGATGTTTCTTACTTTCGTACAACTTCTTTCCAACCTTCTTCACGCTTGCCTCCTTGCTTAGGACTAGTTGTATTGTTTGACTTCATGGACGTATTCAATGCGTCTCCATCGTATTGATTACTATAAGCCTTTTTACCTTTACCAGGCATGTACGTTTCATTGCCGGTTGCCTCGAAATCCTCCCTATCGGCAGGATGTCTTGACGATTCGAATACCAGCTGACCTTTTAATTTACGTTCGCCACAATTCACGGTTGACGATCTAGTATTCGTCGTAACGGCAGCTGTCGACGTCGACGTAGACGTGGACGTGGATGTGGACGTGGACACGGACATTGACACGGACGCGGACACTGCACCCGTACTATTAATCATAGTTCTTCTGAAAGAACAATCATCAAGGTAATAATTGCATCATGATATTCCTAATTGAATTTAGAGTTTCCAACTTACTTGTCAGACGAATTATTTTGAGACTTTGTCGGCGTGATGGAGTTTTGAGGCAAACTAGTACTTTGCGCGATAACGGATTTTGGAGACCTTTGCGGAGATGTATCTTTTTCGTTGGTAGCCGGGCTGCTGCTGCTGCTGCTACTACTCTTCTTTTTCTTTTTGTCTTTCTTCTTCTCCCTAGCCTTGACATCGTTACTGCTACAGCTACCTTGACTGTTTGCGTCGATTCCGCTATCCCCTTCCTCTCTATCAGGATCTTCTGGGCTTCTGTTAACCGGCGATGGCATGCTGTCCATTCTTTCACAACCGTCACCAGTTTCGTGTTCGCTATCGTCGGCTCTGTCGCACTCCTCGTCTCCGGATTTCTTTCCACTCTCCTCCTTGTCTTCATAGTTCGTTTCGCTCTTTTTGTATTCTTCGTGCAATTTACGCTTCTCTTCTTTTTTCTCGAGTTTCTTCTTTTTCTTTCGTTCTCGTCTACGGGCAGCTGCTGCCTTTTTCGATTCTTCCCTCGTTTTTTCCATATCGAGTTCCTCCAACAGTATCGTTGCATTTTTATTCGCTTTTGCCGCTTGAGTTTCTTTTGCCGCTCGGATCACTTTTACACACTCTTGACATTTCTCTAATAATTCTTTATCGCTTACGGTAGCTATGTACCTTGTCATTTCTTGATCGCTTGGAAATTGAGTAACATGATTTACCATCCATTTAACGACCTTAATATGTCCCTTGCGAAAAGCAGCCATTAGACAAGAAACCTGTAATATGATGCACACGTGCAAACACACATATATAATTAAATAACTACATAAGCATAAACGATGATGATAAATAAAAAATTTGATTTGCAAATATTCGTATACCTTTCGATTATCTTGCGAATCTATGTCCGCACCAGCATGGTACAATAAATCAACAACATTCAAGTGTCCACCATTTGCTGCTAACCATAGTGGACTATTTCCCTTTTTGTTCTTTACTTCTACTTGAGTTCCCCTATAAAGTTTTTAAACGTATTTGACAACGTTACTAAACGATCTTGAAAAAGAAAAAAGGAAAGAACAGAGCAGAAGAGCACAAATTGAAAGGAAAAAAACTGTTAAATAATCTTTACCTTGACAACAACAATTCTACGAAACGACAATGTCCTTTATCAGCAGCGATGGTAAGGGCAGTATCGCGAGACGATGGAACGGGAGTAGCGTTAACATCTGCTCCCTTGGTGAGTAAAACGCGTCCAACCTCAACGTATCCTCCACTAGCTGCTTCCATTAATGGCGTTAAGCCAGTCTATGAATAATATTTAGTTGTTTTATATTTGTGAAAAGCGTTATATTAGATGTATATTAGATGTATATTACGACTAGATAACTTATTAAGAAGTTAATGCGCGTAAATTCCTTACGGTAACAATCAGTAGACGATATGTCACTGTACATACCTTTGCTCGATGTTCTACGTTAGCTTTACGATCAAGAAGAAGACTAACAACCTCGTGTCTTCCTTGAAAACACGCCAATGTTAGCGCCGTATTGCGATTAGTTTCTATTTGAGCGTTTATATCACTACCCATATCCAACAATAATTTTACCGCAGCTATAATTAAGATTAATTATTTCAAACTTCGAATATTATCTGAAAATCATTCGTAATAAAAATAATAGGTTCATAATGAACATACCAACATGACCATTCATAGCGGCCAGCATCAGAGGGGAAATACCTAATTTTGAACCAGTTCGAGAATTAATTTCAGCACCATGACTAAGAAGAAGCTTTATTATATTAACGTATCCACCAGACGCAGCAAGGCTCAAAGGTGTGTAATCAGAAACGTTACGATGTTCCTTATTAGCACCCCGATTAAGCAAAAGGTCTACCACTTCGTATCTACCACCGCTACAGGCAAGGGACAAAGGTGTATCTTTAGTACGTTCAGATTGAGCCTCTATGTCGGCTCCATGGTTCAAAAGAATTTCTACAACTTTGTGATGCCCCGCTGTTGCTGCCAAAATAAGCGGGGTGAATCCCTTCTTATCTCTGTGCTCTGGAAATAAAATACATCGTACAGGTTGATGAGTATATATTAAAGAATAAATTAATAATAATTTAATATCAATGTTGTTATGTTTCTATATCTTACCGATATCCGCACCGCGGCTCAATAGAAGTTCGACGAGTTCTTCGTGTCCACCGGCACATGCCAATGTCAATGCTGTATCGTGATTACTGTCTGTTTCGGAATCCACGTCCATACAAGAAAATGGCGCGGGTGGTACTTGACTAGTTGTATAACCACCAACAGTTGGGACACCTGTTGTATATTGACCAGCAACTAAATAATAAAACTAGATTATATGATTGATGAATCAAAACACTTAATTATTAATTTTGCAAAATTCCACAGTTTTTCTTTCACGTACTACAAAAAATTCTGTGAGAAAATGAACACATAAAAATACTCTAACTTCGCCAAAAATCGCTCACCTGTTGTTGGATCCAATTGATAATTTTGATTGGGAAAGTTGGGAGTTTGCTGCTGGGTATTGGCAGTTTGTTGTTGTTGTTGTTGTTGCTGCTGTTGCTGTTGTTGCTGCTGTTGTTGTTGACACGATGGTTGTTGCGGTAAAAGAGGGTATCGTCCTTTTTTTCCTTTACCAGTAGTTGGCGCTGTATAAACTTGCTTTTTATCCGAAGCAACAATTGTTGCAGCGGTTGTTGTTGCTGCCGGTGCTTGAGTTTGAGTAGCAACTTGAACTTGATTAGTGCTACAGGCTGTTGATTGACCATAACCATTCGTTTGATGAGGTATATTATCTACTATTCCTGTCGCTTCAGATACTGTAGGTAAACCTTGAGTGGGAAATGCTAAGAGTAAAGAAATATTAGTTTCAATTAAAGATGCGCCACTTTGAAAATTAATCGAAACATTTTAATCGTAATACTCACTTATTTCAGAAGATTGAAGTAATAATTGTGGCTGGAAATGACATCGAAGACCTTGAAGATATCCTTCTTGGTAGACTGTTAATGCATCTTTAAATGGTTGATTTTGTAACGGTTGTGTACCAGTTAATTGTAAACCTGCTGATATGTCTGCTTGTATTTGAACACCAGCACTAGTTACTTGAAGAGAAGGCAAAGTTGGTAACGAAACAGACGGTACCGATGATACCGGATTAGTGAAATATTCTTGGGAAGTGTAAGGACTGGCTGCCTGCTGAACTATTTGGGTAGTTTGCAGATTTTGTTGCTGTTGCACTTGTTGCGGCGGCGACTGATGTTGCTGTTGTTGTTGCGGTTGTTGAGGATCTTTACCAGCCGATACTTCTAATCTTTTCAGTTCAAGTTTCTCTTGATCTTCTGTTGCTACTTAATCAGATAATGCCATAAAATAATAATAAATGAATAATCAACAAACATTAAAATATCATTCAAATATTTACCATCAACAGTATCGTCAAAACTGATAGATCGAAATATTTCAAAAGCATCGTCAAGAGGAATATGTGTGCCGTCTTCCAATTTTATGACGCTTTCACTGGTACAAAGTGCTTTTGCTTTTTGAGCAGCGGCTACAAAAGGACAAGCTCCATCTCGATGTAGTCTTGCTAACTCAGGATCTGTTTGCTCGGCAAGATTTTGTTGAGTCGCTTGCTACACGTATACATGTAGATTTAGTTTATATGTCATTGATATATATTTATTGTATTAGATGCAATAATTACTTGGTCGTGAAGATGATGAGTATGCGTAGGATGAAGATGGGACATTAACTGAGTGGGCATGAGTATATTATTTCCACTAGCAGTTACTACTCCAGGTTGTTGTTGTGACTGTGACTGCTGTAACTGCAATTGTTGCGACTGCGGTTGCTGTTGAGTCTGAGATTGTTGTTGCTGTTGCTGCTGCTGCACCTAGTTATATTAATTACAAACATGGATATGCACTCGCTTATAATATACATATTGTATCTTTATTAAAAACAAACCTGCACTTGATCCAACTGTAATTGTAACTGTTGATTGAGTTGTTGCAGCTGATGCACCTGCTGAACTTGATAAGTGTGTTGTCGTTGTTTTTGCTGATACTGCTGCTGAAGACCAGCCATCAACGTTGCCTGTTGTTGCTGCTGCTGCTGTTGCTGCTGTTGTTGTTGCTGTTGTTGCTGTTGCTGCAACTTTCCGCCTATTACACTGGACGAAGCTTTTCGGATATTTTTACCCTCTTTCTTCGAAACGGGTTTTGCTTTCGGACGATCACTTATAGCGGTATTTTGGCTAACATCGCTGCTCGCAGTTATGGGTTGAGAAACAGCCATAACAGTAGGAGGTGTGGATATGCTTGGAGGACTCGGTGTAGTTGTCGAAGATACATTTGAAGTGACCAGCGGAATAGACGACGTAACAGGTATCGTTGCAAGAGAAAGAGGAGGAGAAGTAGGAAAAGTATTTGTTGCTGGAAAAGTTTCCGATATAGACGGAACTAAAGATAACTGAGTTTCTTGTGCAATTCGTTTTCCTCTGAGAAATGCATTATACAATGATATTGCCTGGCTGGCGCCTTGATGAGCCAATGAATTCCCAGACATACCACTCGTACTGCAAACTAAACCTTTCGATTGAAAATATCATCATTAGAAACAGTTTATGTAACAGAACTATTGCTGCTGAAAAGACTGAAAATGTATAAACGAATTATTATCCAATACCTGGTGATAATGTATCTGATTCGCTAGGATCTTCTGGCTGTTGCTGTTGTTGTTGTTGCCGTTGAGTTACAACGGAATTTCTTAATCCGGAGAAATAATCTTCCGGCCCGTTAATTTGAAGCTCTCTTTCTACCCTCTGAAATATTCAAAACTTGATATATTAACGAAGTTCACTGGTTCAAATTACTTACTAACTAATCATTACTGACTTGAATATCCTCAAGGATCCTTTTCTTTCGACTTTCGGAAATATTTAATCCTGGTGTTGGTGCTGGAGCGGGGCTAAGACTTATGTTAGGTTCCGAAAGGTTAGTAAATCCTCCGCTACCTTTATCCAAGATATTAGTATCGTCCTTAGTTGTTACAACAGATTCTCCTGCGGGTTGCGAACGAACTTGTTGCGCCTCGGCAGAAGTAAGACTCATATCGGGCATCACGGTTACAGATCGATTTTTTCTTAGTAATGATTTTTGCGTATTATGTTTGGGTTGTAGATTCTGCGCTTGTGGTTGTTCTGCAGCATGTTGTTGCTGCTGATGCGCCTGTGGTTGTGTGGAAGTATGTTGTTGATGGGGCACATGTTGTTGATGCGTTGCATGCTGCTGTGGCTGCTGCGGTTGCTGCTGCTGCTGTTGTTGTTGCTGCTGCTGCGACTGCTGCTGTTGCTGAGATTGCTGCTGCTGTTGTTGTTGTTGTTGTTGCTGCTGCTGCTGTTGTTGTTG